TACCTCCAGAAAGCGATCCCCCAACCTATTAGCGCCCGGGTTCCTACTTACTGCTAGGTAAACAGAGGCGCGTGGAGTAAGGAAACTTGTCTAAGGTCTCGCCCTGCCCGGGAATCTAACCTGGTTCCTCTCGCTTGCGAGGCGAGTGCTCTAACCACCATGAGATACTTGGGAATCAAGGATATTAAGAGATGTGGAAAAAAGGCAGAGAAATGGGATTTAAAGATCTGCCATGATCTATCAAACTAGTGGGGCAGGTACAAAGGGGTGAATGGCCTCCTCCATCTGTTTTTATACATGTTCCTAACATGTACATATTTGTTGGTGATAGCAGAAAAATAGGGAAAGCAGAAGATGCAATTGGAAATTAGTGAAAAATAAATTTAGAACCAATCTCGGGAAAAATATCCATTAAACCTTTGGAATAATACACCTAGAAAGGCAGGAAATGGAGAAAAACAGTGTGGTTATTCAATATACAATTACATACACAATTAGCTGCCACAAAACTCAATTAGATGCCATGATGTGAGAGTGAGTGTGCTCCAGGGATGAGGTTCAATGGTCCGAACGGCATTTTTTCAACGCCAATTTTTTCTAATGCTCTTATGTTAAAAGGGAAGTTGATTGTAAGAGCAACTGATACTATATTTAGTTTCCATCTTCATCCAGTTTCCAATTATGGATGAGCACAGTGAGTGAGGAATCTTGATGGTAGTAAGCTTCTTTAAGATGTCATGTTGGAAGGAATGCACTGTTACAACCATTTCCTCTCTCGAGTTTGTGTCAACAATTCTTTGGCAGCGGGATGTTTCGGCCAGCAGAAAGCAATGAAAATCATTAAAGAAAAACATTATAACCGGTGTTTTTATCATCTAACAGGCAACCAGAGACAACGCTAACGCAAAATAATTTTGTTTCGCAGTGTAGTGGTTAGCGCACTCGCCTTGCAAGCACGAGGACCTGGGTTCGAACCCTCGGCAAGTTTCCTTACGCCACACGCCTCTGTTTACCTAGCAGTAAGTAGGAACCTGGTGCTAGTCGATTGGCGGATCACTTACCAGTGGTAGTAATCCCACAAATAAAAATTGATCAATCAATCCGTTACTGTTTGTAGGACACTGCTGTGCGCAATTGTCTGCCGCATTTCGGCCACAAACACACAAGCAATTCACTTTACAGTATATTCTGTGAAGCCCTTTGAGGCTTCTCAACGATGTGATATCAAATGCAATTGTTATTATAATTTGATTTGTGTGGTTGCTGTGAGCACGTAAAGGCTTGGGGGGCAATTGTACTATAATATAAGTTACCAACCTGCAACTCACAGTTTCTCCCTAGCTTAAAGCAGGTTGCGGTAACCTCGCTTCAGGTAAATTGATGGTTAATTCTGCAGAACTGCTTCTGGACAGAGTTCCAGACAGCAACGCAGTCTGGTAAAAGGCTGGGAGGAGCAGTGGTGTGTGAGGCTTTGTTCCCTATTCTGTTTGCATATTATGCAAAATAGGAGGTTTCAGGAACAGCTGGTGTGTCAGGAATCTGGCTCGACTGCTTGTATTTCTGGTGCTGCTGTTTTCAGTCATAAACTTACAAAGGACCGATAGCCTGGCCTCATTGCTTTGATGTTGGAGAGGTCCGAGTCTGATATGGTCTGTGTCATGTTTATTAATTTCACTGATTTGCATGCCTTTCGATCTCACTGATCCTGTGAACAAGAGATGGGTTTTTACTGCAGCCGGCAAACAGAGCTTCAATATTCCGCATAAACTATGTGGAATCCTGTAGCGTATTGGTCAGAGCGCTCGCCTTGCAAGCGAGAGGACCTGGGTTCGATTCCCGAGCAGGGCAAAAGCTTAGGCCAGATTCCTTACTCCACACACACACCTGTTTAGATAGCACTAAGTAGGAACCCGGTTGTTAGTCGATTGGCGGATCGCTTTTGGGGGTAATAACCCCTCAAAAAACTAAGTAATTAATAATAATTCGAAGATCAGATCATTCACATTAACGATGACATTTACAATGAACCGACTGGCTGAACTATTCCTCGAACAGCAAGCAAATTAGTTCATGAATGTTTAGACATGCAAATATCATTGAACTACATGAAGAAAGGATGGAAATAGTTCCAACAAGTCTGTTGTTTGACCTGGACAAACACAAGGTACTGTTGGATTAAGCGCTCTGGGACGCTACCCTGCCTGAGGGGCGCTATATAAATGCAAGTTGTTGTGGTTGTTGGACACAACTCAAAACTTGTTGCCTTCCTGTCTGCATCAACTAATATGGACAAAGCAAACTGTGGCCTCTGCAGATGTGACTCGAGAGTAAATTCTTGCCTCCGTCAAAACGTATTGATTTGAATATTCGGAGCAGTTTCCAGCTCCTTCACATGTTAAGAGTCTATGATTTGCAGACGTCTTGCCCCAGACTATATTCTTGGGTCATTGCAACTTTTAAGTTAATGAATTCGTGCCCACAGGTTCTTGTGTCTGAATGGGAGGAATCTAATCTGAGATTAGAGATCAATTTATTGAATCATAAGAATATTTTGTAATGATAACTGAAAGTATCGAAGTCAGGTCATAAAGAGGAAATGTTGTGTTATGGAATATAAGGAATATGTAATTCAGTATTGATTCCTTTTCCATTAGTACATTAGGCCTGAAAAATGATAACGTCATCTTAACGCACTTCACAGGATATGCTGTGTAGTGACTGTGTATTTTGCAGGTGAACAACTTGCATACAACAATTTACCACAAACAGCTGTGAAATGAGTGACCAATTTTTATGAGGGGGATTGTTGGCCAGGACACTGGGAGAAACCGTTTCTCTTTCCGAGTGGTGCCATGGGATCTTTAATGTCCACCTAAACATGCAGATGGGGCTTCAAATTAACCTCTCATCCGAAGGACAGAAATGGCTTTGCTCCTTTGACAATCCTCAAACAACAAAAACAAATTACATTTGTTTAGCACCTTTCGCGTCAGGAGAGACCCTTTTCTGCGTGTTCGAGTTTGCAAGTGAGAGGACCTGGGTTCGATTCCCGAGCAGAGTGAAACCTTAGGCAGGTTTCCTTACTCCACACACACAGCTGTTTACCGGCAGTAAGTAGGAACCTGCTTGTTAGTCGATTGGCGGATCACTTTTCAGGAGTAATAATCCCTTCAAAATAATAATAATTAGTTGCTCAATCCACAACTGTTCGTGGTACAGTGCTGTGCACAATTGGCTGCCGCGTTTCGCCCACAAAACAGTCACTACACTTTACAGTATATCCTGTGAAGCGCTTTGAGATGTCTCGATGACGTGATAAGGCAATGTATCAAATACAAAGATTATTATTATTTGTGTGTGCGCGCGCGTGTGGTTTGGGGAGGTGGAAATAATAATATAACTTTAAATGCGTGCGTTTTCAGCTCTACACCCGAAATGTGGGAAAAATGAGGGGAAATTATTGCGTGGACAGTCCTCGTTGAGCTTACTAATATACTTCATGAGGGTATTTTTGTATCAAAGGCGAGTGATTACTGAATCAAAAAAAACATGGCGGAGTTCTTGAGCCTGAATGTACAGAACAACTACAGCAAAATTACATTTGTATAGCGTCTTTCACGTCAGGAGGCACTTGCACATTTTAACTAACTCAAAATGCACAGTTAAGTGATAGCTGATGTATGCTTGGCTAATAACCATTGAAATTAATTTAGTTCCTTATGCTCTAGTTTAGTAGTTTGTAAATCCAGCATTACTCATAGTTTTAACATACAGTAATAGTTTCCCCAAACAACACAGCTGCTGAATTTAACCAGGGCTCTTCAACCATTTGATTTATTAAAAAATAAACACTGATGTCAAGATTTAGTCTATGAGATCGGGTGATTAAAAGACTCAGCAGAAAGTTTGTTCATGCAGAATGTCAATGCACGTGTCTCAGTTGGTCACACATTTGCCTCAGAATAATAATAAATAATAATCCTTGCATTTAATATAGCACCTTATCACGTCTTCGAGAGGTCTCAAAGCGCTTTGCAGAATATACTGTAAAGTGAATTGACTGTACACTTTGTGCCCAAAACGCGGTAGCCAGGCACAGCAGTGCCCTACAAACAGTCGTGGATTATTTTTTTTGAAGGGATTATTACCTCCGGAAAAACAATCTGCCAACCGAGTAAACGAGGTACAGAGGTGTGTAGAGTAAGGAAACTTGCCCAATGTTTCGCCCTGCCGGGAATCAAACCCAGGTCTCTCACTAGGCAAGTGCTCTAACCACCGAGCTACAGGACTCAGGATCTGATCTGATCAGGATGTGAGATCCAGCCCTGCATCAGGATTTCAAGCTCACAATCTAGGCTGATACTCCAGTACTGTGTTGGAGGAAATACTACATTGTCAAATTTGCTGTCCTTCGTGAGTCGTTAAAAACAGGTACTGTCTGCCTGTTCAGGTGCACATTACAGATCCTAGAGCACTGTTCAAAAAGAGAAGTGAGGTTTCTACTGGTGTTCTGACCAACAATCCCTGAGACAAAATGTGCTAATCACTCCAAGGATGTGTATAAGACATTGCTGTGCACAAATTGGCTGCTGCTTTCGCCTAAAGGAACAAAAATATCCACAATATCCACAATCATTAATCTTTTTGTTATGCTGGTTGATTGGAGATGATGCAATGATGGAGAACACACATCTGTTGGCGATTTAGATATGGCCTTGGAAGTAAAGACTTTGGGATTTTATTTTGCTCAGAGTTGTATAACATTTTTGTGAATCTTACATCAGTATCGCATTAGTTCATTCGAGTTCCAATATAATTAAGATTGAACTGTGATTCTGGGTAGTAGGGCTTTGGGACATCCTCCCAACGTGAAAGGCGCTATACAACAGTAATTTGGTGGTGGTGGTGTAGGATTCAGTCCAAACAACAATTCAATGTACAGTGAATACTGAGTAAAAGGAAGACTGCACACAAACTAATATTAAAAACCACAGCATGCATCAGCATAATAGTTTTAATTCACGGAGTCAGACATTTAACGAATGCCAAATAGTCTGTGTGTTTTCTTATCCTCAATCCTTCATCACCCATCACGTTTCTGCACCGAGCACGCTAGAGTGAGACCAATATCGTCGCCTCAAATCCAAGTGCAACATTCGTGTTCCAACTAAATCAAAGATTCGATTATTTGCCTGTGTTTGGCCAGTTTGTCCGTAAATTCAACAGAATTTCGACGTCCCGTGGAGCCAGTTTAAATACTCCGATTTCATTGAGAGCTGCTGTGGCCGAGGGCAGTTTAGAGTTGGAGACTGTATCACTGTTAGAGGGAGTCTGCAGCATTTCCCGTAACAGCAGCGCTGACCCCATGTTCAGGTTTAGAACAATACAAGCTTCTTTTATTCTAGAGGAAGTAAACACAAAGTTAGGAAATATTTAATCTTGTTCGTCATTCTTTACTTATCTGTGTTTTATGCAAATCTGCTTTAAGCTACTGCCTAGTTTTAGTACACAACTGTTTTGGAAAAGATGTTATTACAACACATTCACTTTACTCGAGTGTGGAGTGCCACTGGTTACAGAGACTTTGAAACTAAAAGAGACATTTTTATGTACATTTATAGCACAAGCATTTTTTAAAAAATGATACGCTCACAGAATAGCTCACAAATATTTAAAAAAATAGTTTTATATAATAATAATATTTGCATTTGATATAGTGCATTGTCACTGAGATGCCTCAATGCACTTCGCAGAATATACTGTAATGTGGTGTGACTGAATGCATTTTGTGGGTGAATGCGACAGCCAATTTGCACACAACAGTAATGTTCCACAAAAAGCTGCAGTTTGTAGTTCATGTTAGGAATATGAATCTGACACTCTTCAGTATTTGCATGGTCTTTCCATTTAATCGTGTTGAGCTACACATTCCATCGCACAAGTAAATTAATCATTCGAAGACAGTATCTGCTGCTGGAAAAGTAACCCAGGCTGACACTCACTGTTTGAAGTAATTTTCAGGTCTTTTGCAATAGTGGGCGAACAGCGGGAAAAGATTCCGTGTCATGTCAAACTGTAGCTGGGTCGAGCCACCTTCGTTAAAATGATTCGCCAATATAATCTGTGGCAGTGAAGAAGAAAGCTTTAACGACTTTAAAAATTCAGTTGTAAGATTCAGCTGCAAATACTGTGATTGTTTAATTAAACGCACTATTTTACATAACTCTTCCCACATTCCACAAAATGGCTGCAGCTAACACCACAGCTCAGTGTGAAGGCAGTTGAGTACAGTAGGATAACAAAACTAGCTTATTTAATTGTCTTACATCATAATTGGTAAGCAGGGATCTGCATGTCACTGTGGATTAGTTTTTGGATATCTGGGCTGGTATCTAAGAGGAATGCAGCAAACATTCCTCCTAATTACTGTAATTCACTAATTATAGGATCTATGATTCTCTCTCTCTATATATTATATAATTGAAAAGGTTGTTAAATATTCTTAGGTCTAAATAATAATTTAGCAGAGTCCAAAAGTGTTTTTTCTTTTGTAAATAAACTGTTGTAAGCCACAAAGTTTAATAATTATAGAAGCTACTCCAAAGGTCTGGGGGGTGAAGCCAACAATAACAACAACTTGTATTTATATAGCGGCTTTCACACGGGGTAACAAAGGAGCAGTTGCGTGGGCCCAGAGCCCAGGTGTGGCACTGAGTCATACAAACTAGAGAGTCATACGTTCAATTTACCACCTATGATGATCTGATCTAAGCTGAGGTAGCAGTACGGACTCAGGTTGTCGAGGGAGGGGTAAGAAAGAAAATGGTTCCTATTCTTGGTCTCTATCTAGTAAAGTTTGCTGAAACATCTCACGTGAGAATGTAAGGCAAGGACAGGATCGGGTTTGACTATGACATTCCCTGGAGTTGCATAGCCTGTCAGCCCTCAGTGTTCTGTCAAATATGAAGGAAGGACACCAGGTTGAGATAGCAGAGGGTGGTTAGCACCTATGGAACCATCCCCAGTAGGAATCACTGCTCTCAGGAGGAAGAGGAAGAAATTAAAATTAAAAGTTGTGAAGTTTAACTGAAAGATCTCTCTCTTTATAATGACTTTCAATATATTTCAATGAGAACAGACAGCTGAAGTGGTTCAGAAGTTTGAGGATTAGCCTTTAATGACAGCTTAATACGTTTTATTTGCCTTTAAAGTTTAACTGGTTGTATTCTTACATCCTGGTAGATGAACAGGTCCAGCTTCTCTGATAGTGTTTGCCAGAATGACTTAAAAAGTGAATAGCACAGTTGCTGCTCCAATTGTAGCAATCGATCTCGAAGCGTGAGTAACATTGGGCAGGCCGAATTCGACAAGCACATCACAGCCTGGTCTGACTGCGATGGCAAGAATAACCACCTAGAAAAATAACATAAGCCAGTTCAGTGAGCCTACAGCACTAGCATGGTTAAACATGGTTAAAAAATATAACGAGCATTCAATTCCAATGTACAATGCGAAGACATTACAATGATCTGCGTGCCAGAGCACCATAAGACACTGAAGTGATCTAACTAGAACTGGACACAAAACAACAGCAACAGCACCATTGGTGGGGAAGCAACACATCCTACACAGGACTTGATTACACTTCATTTAATGCATCAATACATTTCTCGCTAGTATTTATTCCATTTTGGGTATGGCTTACTAAATGTATTTGTAGACTTTACAGTGGGAGACGCCATGAGTTGCGATACTGTGTACTTCTGGAGGTGCTGTAGTAACACCTTGAGGTCGGTCTTTGGAGGTTGAAGTCATAGCATACAGAGAAAGTTTCACACAATTGTCAGAATGATTTTGTCACCTGTCGTTTTTGTGTTTGGCATGTTTGCAATCAACATGCATTCAATAAGAAATAAATTATAATTGTACATTGTTCAAGGTACAGGACCAGCAGCTGTCACTGTTTTGAACCAGAGGTAATTAGCATTTCCTGCTTAACTCGCCACTAAGCGCTCACCTAAAAATTTCCCAGTCACTGCACTCTGCAGTAAATCTCATGAACCTCTTTAAGAAGTCCTCCTGTCATGAAAGGCGTTATATAAAAATTAAGTTGTTTTTTTTAACATAGCAAAAAATCTGGAATGTATTATAACAGCATTGAACATATTGCCAACTGGTAAAATGTAAAAAAGTTAACAGAATTAGTTGTTTTATAGCCAACATTTTGAAATGTCAGTCAGTGCACTTTAATAGAGAAATCGAGTGAGTGTTTTGATGCTATACACAAGAGCAATTACTCATTGAACCTTGAGATTTTGATTGGAATAGTTAATAATGGTCCTGGTAATCAGAAAGGGACTGCTTTACATCCCTGGAGATTTTAACAGAGCTCCATCATTTCCCAAACTCATCAGAAGTAATCCCAAGGTAGTTTGTGCATATTCAGCTAAACCCAGAATATTTTCCATTGTAAAGATACATGCTTGTAACCAGATCTTCAAACTTTTCTATAATGCTCTCAGTAAGAGGCCATTAACAGGAACCAACTTAACGCAGGCAGCCCTTACAGATTGCCCTTAAAGAGCAATGCTTTTAGGTTGGCTATGCTGCAACAACTTGTTAAATTGATCAGTTTATTGCCTTCATATTCTGTTCTTTCCACATTCAATTTGAGACACTGCTTGTTAATACATTTGAGCATTACTTTTATCAGCATTTCAGTACAAAGGATGAATCTCACACATTTCAATTTTAGCAGCAAAACACTGTGATGCTTTAATTCGTCCTTAGTCTGGTTAGAAAAATTATTAGTCTCCTTGTGAAATAACCTCCCACCCCCATCTTCACATTTTTCTCAGTAATTAATATAAATTCTGGTCTTTAAAATGCGCCTTTTTCCAAACAACATTCCGTACTCCAGCTACACACAAGTAGGAAACAAGGCTACGGCAACTGTTTAATAAACGTCTACAATATTCACCTCTCTTTTTTGTACGGTTTTGCTTTGTCCTTAACCTCTCTGAAGATATACTCGACTTGCCGAGCAAGCATGTCATGCCGGAGGCGTTCCAGTAGGTCAATCATATCATCAAAGACGGAGCTTTCAAGTGAGGCCAATTGCCCAAGCTGCAGCTCGGTGATAGTGTCTCTCTCTGCACAAACGTCCAGTGACGCCTGCTGAAGCTGCAGGAAGAACTACAAAAAGGAAAAGGTATTTTTAATTCAAATATTGTAACATTATAACAGTATCATTCTTGGACTCCAGTTTCGTAAAGTGCCTCCATTAAAATATGAAAGCATGCCCATCCAACATCCCATACTCTGCTACAGCATTTTGTATTTCGGTTATAAATTTGTCTAAAACATGTCACATTAAATATTAAATGAAAACCCGGATCAGATACACGGAACAGACTGAGCTTCAAAAACTTCCTCAACCAAGTAATTGTAAGAGGCAGGATTGGAAGGTATTACATGATTCAACATGTGCTGAACTACATTAAAATCTTGTCATTTCAGATGTTCAATGTGATTAGCAAGATACAGAATATTGTACCAACTCAAACATCTACAACACGTAGAGGCACTTAGGCTCTTTCTGTCACTTACTTAATGTGAACCAAATGAAACAACTAATAATAATAATCCTTGCATTTGATATAACGCCTTATTACGTCTTCTAGACATCTCAAAGCGCTTTGCAGAAACCATGTAAAGTGAATTGACTGTATGTTTTGTGGGCGAAACGCGGCAGCCAAGTGGACACAGCAGTGTCTCACAAACAGTCGTGGATTGAGTGACCAAATTATTTTTTTTATATCAAATGCATTCTTTCCCAAGCTGATATATTTTTGCAGATGATACAGAGGCAAAGATCTGTGTCTTACCACTTTGATGATGCAAAAACAAGCGATCTGTGTCTTACCACTTTGTCTGCCCAATCTCCCAGCATTGCTGCTATATAGTTGACCGCGTTCAGGATGGCACAATAACGAGATCCTAGAGGCGAACGAGTCTCTTCCTTCATCACTTGAGTCAAGCGAATCCTGAAATCATCGATCAGCTCCTTCTGCAGTTCCAGAAACCGGAGTTTACGAGCAGCTGTAGGAAGGGACTTGTAGCGGTCTGCACAGACATACGTTAAAAATTAAGACGAGCCCCTTCTTCAAATGGGTAAAACAAAGGAAAATTAGATGAAACTAAATTTATTACAGTGGAGGCATTTCTTCCCAGTTTGTCTGTCGCCAGCCCCCCACCAACCCCCTCACTGATTGACAGCCCGAAGCCACTTGTGCATGGCAGAAATTTGCTGTCAATCAATCGTAATCGGACTTCGCCCATCTCCACCCTGGAGCTGCTTGAGACACAGAAGGCGCGAGTGAGTTGACCCAGAAGAGACCAGCCCGGTATTTTGTCTGGATTACCCGGAATTGTGTCCGAATTAACCTGTATATTTAAAACAGGTAAGAATACAAATGAATCGGGCCCGGGCGTGTTGTCCAATTTACCAATTTACCCGGTGTCCAGGGTTAAACAGTGACCGGTTAAATCGGCTTCCCCACTGCATAAGAAAATACCGTGAACCTGAACATGTAGAAAATAAAATGAAATTAAAGGATAAACTTTATACGTAAGCTGGGAGAGCTCTCGTCACAGTCGGCAATCCCACAGAACGTTTGGCCTTATGAGACGTCTCGAAGAAGTGATAAGGCGCTGTATCAAATGCAAGGATTATTATTTAAAACATCACCTGTAATATGTTACCTGTAATGACCAGAAGAAGAGTCATGAATGTTTCAGCACAATCTGGAGCTTTCATCTCATCAACATCAGTGATGTCCTTATACTGGGATGTCCAGGCAGCTTCTGAGGATAGCACAGAATCCATTTTTTCTAAAGCAACTGAAACGTAAATTTTATTGTATTGTAAGTCAAAGAAAAGTCATAGCTACTCACATTCTCAAAAATCAGCAATCTGTTCCTGTATGCTCATGTCTAACCCAACAAATATAGGTAGTAAACATTTCGCTTCATGAAGTATATATGCATCTTTCTTAAATAAAATGATCATTTTATCATTTTGTTGTCCTGGCCAACAATTCCCCGGATAAAACTGGCTATTCATTTCATGCGCAAACTGGCTCCTGTGATCACTTGCAAAATGCTTAGTCGCGACACTTTTCAGTGAATCTTGTGAAGCGCTTTGAGACGCACACCTGACATGAGAGGCGTTATACCAAATGCGAAGATATTTTATCCACACACGACATGCCAAACTGCGTAATTTAAACTGTTGTTAATCAAACAGAATTTGTGTGTAGCAGACATACTGTGGAGATTGTGTTAAGATTGTGGAATCTCATTATGTTCTGTATGTGCTTACATTTTCTTTCCACTGTTAGCCATTTCTGAAAGCAGGTTTCTTCTGACAGGATGTGCATGCAACCCGGGAGGTTGCTAGGATAGCCGTGGGCACTGTGCAGCTCCTTTTCAAACAGCAACGCTTCATCTACCATATGACAAAATAGGCTGTCATCATACAGGAGCCTGGGAATATCATCAGACATCTTCTCCAGAACCAGCATCACCAGACCCCGTGAGAACTCCAGCTGAACAGCAAGGACAGGTACAAAAATGTTACTTCAATCATTTAAACCAAGCAACGCCATCTTTTATACCAGCAACATGCCATTGTGAATTAGGTACGGTCTGATGTGTTCCAGAATTGCGCACCAAAATTTCCATCCGTACTAAAGCAAAGCACATTCACAAAATATACCGTCAATGCACTTTACATTATATTCTGTGAAGCACTTTGAGACAACTCAACGACCTGATACGGCACTATATATCAAATACAAGGATTATTATATACAGAGTGAATTACTAAAGCAAAACAGGTCCATTACAAAATGAATTACTAAAGCAATACAACCTTTACAGCTGAGAAAATATGTGATCTCACATAGAGTGGTGTGGTTAAAAAGGCACAAATACTGAAAAACACGTGCTCACTCAAACTTCAATAATATGACTTTCAACACTGCACTTATGTCATCTTGCAACTCAATTTAACCCACTGATGGCTTATAATCAGTTATCCACAGAATTGTTTCGTTCAGATAAACAAAACAAGAAGAAAAGACTTAAAGAGAAAACGTTGTCTGGGTTGTTTTTCAAACTATGTATTTACTTTTTTTAAAAAAAAATTATTCACTACTCATGTTTTATACTTTTATATATTATTACTATTATATATAATACTATACCAAGATGTGGCTCTGTACCTGAGATCGAGCATTAGTGGTATGTAAGCAACAGAAATTACGCAGTGAAACACAACCAATTCAAATTGGCAGTCTGGTTGCTGTAAAACATATGCTTTGCCCATAGTTTCTTCATGCTGAGTTACCCCATGAAGGCTAACCTAGAAAACTGGCTCACGCTGCCAACCTGGAACATGATTAAATATTGCCAATCTATAAACCCCCCAAACATTGGCAACCTAGAGAACCATCAACATATTGCCAACCTATAAAAATATCAAAATTGCCAACCGAGAAATGGGCAAAAGGCAATTAACAGCAGCCAATAATTCAAAAATAGCCCCAAATACAATCAGAGCGAAAACACCAATAAGCAAGGGGCTCTTTGTGTTAAGTATCAGAAGTTAATACAGAGTGAATATAAAACTGTTTGCCTACAGACAATATATACTGTAGCTAAATAATGTAATATCATAAGCAGAAATGGGTGTAAAGCACTTAAGCAAGTTATTGTGGAGCTGGATGTCATTTTTAGCTGCTTACTGAATTAGTATTATAAAACAAAACCTTTTACTTGACTGCAAGTAAACAGACTGAACGTACTACAGTTTCAATTAAATTACTTCAATATTTTAAGATAACATTCACCCACAAAATATACAGTTAATTCACTTTACAGTATTTGTAAATACTCAAGCGCTTTGAGATGTCTCAAAGCCGTGATAAGGCACTATATCAAATGCAAGGATTATTATTATTATAATTTAAAATTTTAGCTCAGTGCCTCCTTCCTAGTCAGTTACCTGTTATCTATTTTATAAAACCAGAATACTGCAGAGCTACAAACGTCAAGGTACGAGCAGGGGAGGATGCAAACAATATTCCATAAGATCCATAATGTTAACACATAGTCAAATACCCTCAAGATGCAAACTAGCTTTGACAATAGCAGCTTGATATTGTCTGGTAGAGTTTCAAGCAATGAATCCTGTAGCTTAGTAGTTAGAGCACTCGCCTCACGAGCGAGAGGACCCGGGTTTGATTCCCGGACGGGGCGAAACCTTAGGCAAGTTTCCTTACTCCACACGCCTGTTTACATAGCAGTAATTAGGAACCCTTTGTTAGCCAATTGGCAGATCGCTTTCCGGGGATAATAATCACTCAAAATAAAATTAAATCCATGACTGTGCGTATTTTACCCACACAATATAAACACTTTACAATACACTGTGAAGCAGTGAAGCACTTTGAGACGCCTCAATGACGTGATCAAGCATTATATCAAATGCAAGGATTATTATTGTCTGGAAACATTCAGTAAAAATCCTTTTCTTTCTCCTGCTATCAGTCACAGCATTGCAACTTAGGCCTATTTGCTTCACTTCTAACATTTTCTGTTTTTAATTACAGAGCAACATGGCCCGAGGGCTGGAAAGCATATTGTTTCCCACCTCGGCAGACAACTAGTCTATTAAAAACAGGTTAAGAGAAATTCCTATATGACTAACATCTGAACGCAGGGTGTTTTACTCTCTTGACCATAACCATCTGTCAGCTTTTTTTTAAAAAAAGGATGTCTCTTTGCTCAATGTCTGGCATATTAACCATTCTACGTACAAAAAACTGGTTCCCAAAGAAACAGATCAAAAGAAAAACTATGTAGCTCACATCCACATTGCAGTAAACAGACACTGATTTCCTTAAATTGTTTTAATACATTAATCAAGTCAGTATTTAATTTATACATACTTAATTTAGCTTTATTGAGGGATAAGGGAGGCTTTGCAAACTTACCCTGGCATCCAAAAACGAACCTGCTTTGTCTATGATGGGCTGAATTTTTTCTTCAAGAAATTTGGAATGGTTTACAATCCACATCAGCACTTGTGTCAGGTACCATTCTGGCTATAAAAGTAAAACAAAACATATTTACGGCCTCCAGTAACACACTACACCACATAACACAGAACACTTTCAAAGGTAACTTAGAACATGCAGCATAATTGATTGAGAATCAGATGTCTGATAACTGTTTCACAAGACCACAAAAGAAGGTTTGAGGATGATGAAGGTCTTTTGACCCATCTAATACTATCTTTCCAGAATACCCACCTTATCAGCTTTTCATTACAGGCCCAAGCTGTTCCGAGGGCCTCTGTGTAAAGAAATACTTCCTGATATCAGTTCATAAAATATTCTCTCATGTGGTACTTTGCTAAAGGCCTTTTGGACATCTGGGTACATGTTGCATGGCTTAAGACAGACAAATTGACACATCACCACCTCAAAGAAGATTTACCCCCTTGTGGATGTCGTTTATTAGGTTATTTTCACATGGTCAACCTTCTATTTTGTTTCTAATGATTCCATTAGGTTTCCAATGATTGAGGTCAGGCTAATATGTTTGTAGTTGCCAGGTATGGCTCTGTCACCTTTTTGGAATATGAGACCAACATTTGCTTGCTTTCAACTTGCTGAAATGACAGCGAGGATGATCGACTCCCTTATATCTCATGAGGGAGAAGGCAGGAATGTTCGAATGGGACAGGAAATTATATTTTGGTATAGTACCTTATCACATTGTCGAAATATCTCAAAGTGCTTCATTGGATTTATTATAAAGAATAGTGACTGTGTACTTGTTGGCAAATGCGGCAGCCAATGAGGTTCACAAATAGCCATGAAGTGAAGGCCAATTTTAGCGGAAGGATTGTTGGCCAGGACAATGGGACAAATTCCCTTTTTTTAAGTTATGCCATTTAATGTCCACCTGAACAGACAGACATGATCTCAATTTAACAAGTCATCTGAAGGACGGCACCTCCGACAATGCACTGCACTGGGGTGTCAGCCTAAACTGTGAGATCAAAGTCGCAACGTGGGGGTTGAACCCATAATCTTCTGACTTAGAGGTGAAAGTGCTACCAACTGAGCGAGGTTGACATTTTAGGATCTGTTCAGACTCATGTGGGATATAATCAGACAAGTTGGGCTGAATGGCCTGTTTTTTTTGCTCTAACAATCTATGTAATAATATCTATTAGCGTTTCAGAAAATCTTCCTGGTCACTTTAAGTACTCCATATGTTCACGCGTCCAATAACCGTTAAAATGCAGTGTCAACAACAACAACTTGCATTTATATAGCACCCTCCACACTGGGTGGGGTCCCAGAGGGCATAACAGTGGTGGAGCCCGATGCCGAGCCAGGGGGAGAGGTAAGGTGACCATAGGCACAGTCGAAGACATGTTTGACGTACACAAACGGCAAAATGGACTGAATGGAACGCTTAAAAGGAAAAATAAACTGAAATATGTGCTTTCAAAAGTTACATTTAAAAGAACAAGAAAAAATAAAGATACTCATTTTAGACGTGCACACATCACTTGGCTAAAAAAACAACTTGGCTAACCTACGAGACGAATATTATTTTAAAACAGTGGACATTTTAAGAAAGATTAACTGTTGTGAAACAGCGGTTAAATATGCAGTTAGTTATCATTCCTGTGAGCTACATAATGACAAATCTGTCTGCACATCTGTCTCAATAGCGCTATCCTATATACAATTTTTGATGAGGCAATCTTTCTAAATGCATTGCAATTCCCTGCACATCAAGTAAAAATGCTCCATCAGCAAACTCTCTGACTGCACGTAGTAAATGAAACTTCTCGGTCAAATTATATTCCAGTAAAGGCTAGAACCTTAACTTTCGTGCTTCAGAGAAAAAAATGCATCCTTTGTAGAAAGCAGAAGCAGTACAATTCAATCTTTATTGTGGCCCTGTAAAGAAACTGCTGACCCACCAAATTCTCCCCCATTATATTTTAATGTTTGAGCCAATTTGAAACGACAGAAAATATTTTACACTTGCAGATGTATTTACACAACAGCAATCAAATTTTTTGTTCCAACCATAAAAAAATCAGTTTAATATTCTTCTGAGCTAGTGCATGGAGGGATCTCACATACAGTCTCAAAAGATTAGGATTGTGGATAATGGAAAATGAGAAGACAAAGTAAGAGACACGAATGGGAATGAAAAACAAAGAAAACATAAAAGAGGAGAAACAGAAAGATAGACAGAGAAACCATTCGAAAATCTGATGTTAGAAAAACATAAGCAGCTAGTTGCGAACTTGCAATTTTGAGTTTCTAAACCATTAGCAACAACAACCACCAGTAGTGCCAAGCTGTGGCCCACGGGCCAGAACTGACCCACGGGGCCATCAAAAAGCATCCCTCCGAACATTCGCACAAGTATGGGTAGGTCTGTGTTCGATTGGTAGTGTGTTTTCAGTTTTTTCTTGATTATTTCTTGATTTATGGCATATGTATCCTCAAGCCTTGACTCTTGCCAACCTGCCTCTCATTGGAATGTCAGCCCAGACTATGAGCTCAAGGTTACAACGTGTAATTGAATCCACAACCTTCTGACTCAGAGATGAGAGTGCTACCAACTGAGCCAGGTTGACATTCTTGGTAAACGTCCCTCTATGGAGGCAGTGCACAGCCACTTCCCAATAAATACTCTGGAATTTCTATATGTAGGTGGGATGCATGGAACTCTCAGTTTGGTTTGGATACTCTTAAGCCTGGTGATGGGTTTCTGCATGTGTCAAGACACCCCAAAAAAGTGTCAGCCGAGACTACGAGTTCAAATTCTAATATGGGGCTTTAACCTACAAGTTTCTAACTCAGAGTAGAGAGAGCTACCAACCTAGCCAAACTGACATGCTTATGAAGAATCTAATCAGAAAGAAAGCTCTAAGAAATGCTGAGGAGAAGAGATCCCTGATGTTTCTGCAGAAAGCCGACAGGAGGAAAGCTCCCTGACGTTTCCTGATAACCCTGACAGAATAAGGTTCTCAAATGATTGACTGAACTGAAATAGTCTGTCTTTTTATAAAGACTGGCACAATATGGAACATGTTGATAAACCCATCAACAGGAGTGACCAGAGGCTACACAAATCATAATTCAGCATAAGAACATTTTGCACAATTGTGGCGGCATCTCCTTAAATTCGCAGGATTTGTTTGTGGTCAACTATTGTCACATTACTGGAACTTTTATTTTGAAAAATTTAACTAATTCATCTAACCCTCAGGAGCAATACCTTGAACAGTCATTAGGTGCTGCAGACTTACAAAGATCTGGTTGAGGATCGAACAAGGCCATTTGTATACAATCTTAAACACAGAATGAATCTCAATGAAAAGACAAACCTTGTTCAACACGTTGGTTTGCCTGTTCCCAGAAAAGTGGTACTTGAATCTCATCTGTAGTGGCAGCAACATGAGCTGTATGGGTAGTGCAATGGGTAACGAAGGAGGAATGTCGTATTTTTCGGGTAACTGTTTCTGTTTAGTGATTAGTTCATCTCTGCGTCAATGTTAAAGATAAACTTGATCCCGAGTGTCAAAAGAGTCAAAAATCTCTTCTCAGCATAAGCATAAGCATAAACAGTTACTCACAAATTGTGAATTAACCCAGATTTTTCTCAGCTACTCTCAAACCTCGAACTAGTGGAGTCCTGTAGCTCAGTGGTTAGAGCACTCGCTTTGCAAGCGAGAGACCCGAGTTCAATTCCAGGCAGAGGGCGAAACCTTGGGCAAGTTTCCTTACTCCACACAGAGCCTAATAATAATCCCTCCAAAACCAAAAACAATAATAAATTGGTCATTTTCCATCTATGACTGTTTGTGGGACATTGCTGTGCGCAATTGGCTGCCGCGTTCCCCCACAAATATACAGTCAATTCACTTTACAGTGTGTTCTGTGAAGCGCTTTGGGACGTCCTCCCGACGTGAAAAGCGCTATATCAAATGCAAGGATTATTATTATTATTATTACTGACATGATGATCACTTACTTCAAGGAATTATTAAAAATAGCGATTAATTAAGATTCATATTCCTGGACCCACACCTACATAGAGCTTATCACAATATAAAGACATCCCATCAGCTCACCTTACTATGAAACCCAATTTGAAGCTGACATACTCAATTTGAAGCTGACATACATTCAGTCGTAAACTAAACAGATACTTTAAAGCAAGGGAAATAGACCTTGCAGCAAGGAATTTTGATATATTACTTATTTGGGTTTATTCAAAAAGAATTACACCATCTTCTTGAAAACAAAGTTGTCACCATCTCCTGGTCAAATGTAATTACTACAACAGAAACGCGGAAGGGAGAAAGTTAGATTTGAAAAGTAATCTAAGAAATACAACATATTGTCTGGCCCTGGACAACTAATTACACCCAATACAAAAAAAACTGTAACAACGTAAGCAAATGTCTAACATATAGAGTTTCTAATTGTTATATTACTTCCCAGAACCATTATCTTCTCTAAAATCATAAACATCTTCAAAGCTGGATTGATTATATTTCTTTCTCCCCACCATTCATGACATCAAATATAAATGCAAGGATTATATGCTTCGTTTTTGCCCTCAGATCCTCTTGGCTACCATTTTCTCTTCCAGCTGAGAGATGGAATTTCAACTGTGATATTTCACAGCCTTAATCATAGCTGCTTCAAGTGGAAGTGAACTGCAATTCATGTTGGATAATTAGCAACAACAAATTATACTTGTATAGTGCCCTTCACGTCAGAAAGAGCATCTCCTACCTGAGACTACATGACTCTAGAAGCCGAACTGAGGACTGACAGAGTATGCCGACATGAGGCAAGCTATCAGAGACAGACAACATTGAGCTTTGAGCCTATGGCCTTTACATTGGGATCCCATGTGCTCAATATTTTTTTAAAGGAAAATCAAGACCCACATGCTGGAATCGGCAAGCTCAAGTCCGATAATTACAAAATGGGGAAAGGATACGAAGTCTGTAACTTGAGAAGCTGAGTGAAGAGTGCCTCCAGGTTGTTCTGGAGCTCTGCTGCGTTTGCTGCAGGTAGCAGGGTGAGAGTCTGGCTCTGTGGTGGTCCGATGAAAGGCCAATGCAGCTGCTTTAAGACATCTTCAAAATCACTGCGCAAAACAAAGATTTGATGTACATTTTTCACAAAAGAAATGTAAATTTAGTAAAGCCTCACCTTTGTGTAACTTATTTTAAAATAATAATCCTGGCATTTCACATAGTGCCTTTGCACGTCGTTGATGCATCTCAAAAGTTCTTCACAGAATATACTATGAAATGAATTGACTGTGTATTTTGAGAGCGAAACTGTATCCCCCGACAGTTTAGGGGAGTAGTTTATATATATATATAGTTTAGCACTACTTAGAGACTGTATTTGTAGAGGCTCTAATACTGCTGTTCTTTAGCAGTTAGGAATCCTACTGCAGTACACAGCAATTCATTAAATTCTAGCCCTGCGTTCATGTTAAAGTGGTGCCACACATTTCCTCAGTACATGGGAATATGCTTGAAACCTCAACTTCCTGAGCTAGAGGTCTTAACAGCATAGCTAAGGACAGACAATTCCCATACCGCTTTGTAAGTCTCCTTTTTCCTCTCTCCCCCACACTCACACTCGCTCTGTCTTGGTCTTTTTCTATATGTTGTCTATTTTCTTTTACCTCCTCTTCTCCTCATTTCTTGTAATCCATTTATTTTCCCTTTGGTGCTCTATTGAAAAAATAAACGAATAAACTTCCCTTCCAACCGTAATTCTCCACAAGCCAGACAAAAAAAGCAGCTGTTTCCAACCTCTGGGATTAAGTCAATAATGTTTTCTACTGTATGTAATTTTCTGCATTATCATCATTATCGTTTTGAAAGGTTTCCTTCCAATTGGCACCCTGTGTGTCTGGATTTTTAAAAACTTACTGTGTCAGCCTGTCCTTGAGAATTTTATGCCAGAATTTGACAGTGGATCTGATGAATCTGAGCAGATGATTGCAAGATGATTTTTGAAGCTTTATATCCAGTTCTGCCATAGACACCAGGGTGCTGGCAGCATCTGAGACACTATTAGTCATCAAGTGCTGCTGAATACAATCACTGTGGAGACAACACAATAGTACGGGAGCATTTCAGGTACAAAAAAAGGGTGAGTTATGAAAAAAAACAGCTCTCATACATTTAATAATCAATCAGTATAAATTTGCTTCACTACAGAACTGTCAAGATATAGCAGGTCTTTTGACAAAGAACATATTCAAATCATGGTTATTTCTGCAGCTCCCTAAATCCACTTTGGAAATAATATTTTATTTTAAAATGTCTGGTTATTCTGACCTTTTCCAGATATTTATGGGCTTCTCTTCTCTCTCTTCCCCCCACCCACCTCGCACCACCGCCATTATTGAGAATTTACTACGATTTTAAGAGCAAAATAAGCCAATTTCTTTCTGTAGAACAGATTTATTATCATCCTCTAGGAGGATGTCCGCTCCACTAAAACAGATATACAGTAAACCTCACATAAGGCGTATCAATTGAGACCACATATTTAAGGTGACTTATGCAAAGTATGAGTGATATCAAACTTGCAGAGAACATAAACTCTTGAACAAGCAGATGTACGACTTAGGCGATTATACGATTTATACAGTTCAGACTTCTGCGAGTTTTACTGTACACAGATAAACACAGACTTTCTCTGGAGCCCTGAGAAGATTCTCAACCCCAATAAAACAGAAAATAGTCAAATTAAAAACAGGAGTATTTTGCGTGGTTGGTGGAATCAAATTCTACACTCAATCAAAGTGAGGAACGAAGCATCAGAATATTTTAAGGAATACTCCAAGGAAAAAATTGTCCTAGTTCCTATAGTCTAAAGTAAATTGTAATCTTTGCTGATTTCCTTTTCAATCAATGAACAGTGGGTGACATACAGGATAATTGGAGCAATCACACTGTTCACTTCCTCATCTTCAGAGTGCTCTTCAAGTGTTGTAACTCGGGGATAATCAACCTGCATTTTACAAGTGCATAAATGTCTCAAAACGTTTACCAGGTACAATAGGATGCAAGCAAAAAGGAAGATTTAAGAATAGTGATCATAAGCATAGCCAAAGATATATTTTAAGAGTCTTAAAGGCAAAGAGAGAGAGAAAGTAAAGTGGGGAGATTTTAGAAGAGAGTTCCAGAGGACAGAATATCATGGTTGAAGGCTGGAATATAAGGCTGAACTGTGGAAAAACGCTACCCACTGGGAAGACAATAATCTGACAAGATTGTACTGCCAGTTTATGACTGAATTCAGCTCGTAGTTATTTGAAAGTGCAAGCAAAAAAAAAAGCTACATCCTTGCTAATTGCCCAGCATAAAAATCAGGAACTCAGCTTGCCACCCACTAAATCAGCAGATCTAGACATGAAACCTAAGATGTTCCTGGTCTACCTCGCAACTACTTACTGGATAATTGTATAACTCGCTGATGTAATGGGGAGCTCAAAACGCAGGTTATAACAACTTTGGGAATCTTGACACACACACACACACACACATTCCTGAAACCTGTAAAACTTTAATAGGGAGACAGTGAACACGATACCATAAATTCAAGTTTTATTTGAATGAAACGGCAAGAACCTGCCAACCCTATTATAAAGCACACATCCTGCCATTACGGAAACAAATCATGGATATGCTTACCTTAACTCCTCTATTTGTGAAATCCACTTCAAGTACCAGAGGTGCCGCTCAATCTGTTCAATCTGTCCAATTAAAGCATTCAGTTCCTCCATCCAGGTTTGTGCTGTGACTAGATGATTGCTGATCGATTCGGATAAAACTGTATGGTTCTTAAGTAGGTCACTTAGCAGACTTTTGGAGTTTTCAGCATTCTTGAATGCATTTTCAATCTTTTTCGGTACTTCAGATGAAACAGTAAGTACCTGTATTAATTTCAACGGCAAACTTTAGAAAGGAAGAAGTTCACCAGACTTCTATATCTTGTTAATTAGAGAAAAGTAATCTTATTCATTCTGAATACCTATTTAAAATATGCAGAATCTTAATTCTTGGTTTTAAGATAAATCTCCATTCATTTAAAATGCATGGGAGAAAATTCATTCCAGTATTTAATAACATGAGACAGCATCAATGACCCTCTCAGGAATAAGCCTTGGAATAGAAAATTGCAAAAAAATTCATTTAAAAACATATGAACGGGAGATCAATCAACCTGTCGAGTCTGTTATGCCAATTAATTGAATTGTGCCACATCTTTTGATCCCTATCTTTTCTTCATAGCTGTCTCTTCCCAAATATCCATTGATCTCACTTTTAAACATCCCAATCAATTTTGCATCTGTGATCTTCTGCTGCAAGACATTCCACATTGTCAGAACTCTTTAGAGAATAAATGTGTTCTGATTTTTAACCGGCTTAGCTCGACTTCTTCAAGGTTTGCATATTGGTTTGTTGGACATTCAGAAAAATATTCATTGAAATTATTTATTGAAAATGTTTTAAAACTTTGTGCTGATTAAAAATCTCTAACAATTAAAATTTTTGGAGTAATATATTAATAATCCTTGCATATGATATAGTGCCGTATCACGTCGTCAAGACATCTCAAAGCATTTCACAGAACATACTCTGAAGTGAATTGACTGTATATTTTGTTGACGAAACACGGCAGGCAATTGCGTACAGCAGTGCACAATTTTTAAATTAGGGTTAGGGTTACAAACAGTCATGGATTGTAGTCCAGAACAAGCAAAAACATTCTTTTAATTAACTGCTGAAATTAAATGGAAAGTTTCCATCAGACTATTCTCATGGGCACAGAAGGTAATTGTCTCAGGATTAAAAAAAAAAGTTGAAGATGTTTTGTTTGGTTTAGAACTCCAAAATTGTAAAGGGCTATTTATTGGAATTTGAATAAACGGCAAGTTTGGGATCGTAAGCTGGAAAGCACTAAAAAAAAACAGGGATACAGGAAAACCTTGTACTAATGAGGTTGTTTGGGTTCAGAGGCCACGTTAGAAGCAAAGTGCAAAAACAAATTCAACTTCTGGGTTCCCAGGTTTCTGCTAACATCACTTCAATGCAATGTACCAATGACGTGATTAACATGCTACTGAACAGGCAGGTAGGATCTTAATTTAATGTCTGGCCTGCGGGATGGCACCTCTGACAATACAGTGCTGCCCCAGCACTGCACTGGAGTGTCAGCAAAGACTATGAGCTCAAGTCCCACCCTAAGCCTTCTGACTCAGAGACGAGGTTTACCAAGCTAACACGGAATTTAATTTGATATTGTACCTCAAAACTTCTCAATGTGACCCTCAAAATATTCCTTGCGTTTTTGATATGGCGCCTTAACACGTCATCAAGACATCTCAAAGTGCTTCACAGGATATACTGTAAAGTGGATTGACTGTGTAGGGTGTGAGCGAAACATGGCAGCTCACGGTAATGTCCTACAAACAGCTATGAAGTGAGTGGCCATTTTTATTTGGGGGATTGGTTGGCAGGACACCAGGAGATAGAAACTCCCTTCTCTTCTTAGTGATCTTTAACAACCGCCTGAACAGGCAGACAGGACCTCGGTTTAACATCTCAGGATACTGAAGGATACTTCCGACCACGCAACATACCCCAGCATCACACTGGACTGTCATCTTAAACTATATATGATTCTAAGTCCCGATGTGGGGCTTCAACCCATAATCTTCTGATCCAGCGGCGAGAGTGCTACCACTGAGCCAGACTAACACAACAAAAAGAGGATCTTTAATCACAGGATCTTTCATATCCACCTGAATCAATGGAAAAAAAGGCAGATGCATTGTCGACGGTCTAAATGCTTTTGGTGTGTGGAGGGGAGATCTGGGCGCTGTCAGGGTGAGAGAGCGCGTGTATGTGTTTGTGGTGTGGGGGTGGTGGGATCTGAATGCTATTGGTGTGTGTGTGTGGGGGGGGGGGGGGGGAGTTTAAGTGCTGTTGGAGTATGGGAGCTGTTAAGCTCTCTGGGATGCTACCCGCTATATAAATGCAAGTTGTTGCTGTTGTGTGTGTGTGGGTGGGGGGGGGTTCTTAGTTTGTATGTATGCGTGTGGGGGTCTTAGCGTGTGTGTGTGTGCGGGGCGGGGTCTTAGTGTGTGTGTGGGGGACTTCTGAGTGCTGTCAGTTTGTGTTAGGGTGCTATTGGGCTGTGTGTGTGGGGTGCAGGTCTGGGTGTTTCTGTGGGGAGGGGTGTTAGTGTGTGTTAGTGTAAGTATGTGGCGGGTGTTAGTGTATCTGTTAGTGCGCTGATGTATGTTTGTGGGGGGGTTGTCAGTGTGTATGTAGCGCTGTCTGTCTGTCTGTATGTTTGTGGGGGGAGGTATTACTGTTGGTGTGTATGTCTGTACCTGGAGTTGTTAGTGTGTTAGTGTCAGTGTGGGTGTTAGTGTGTGTCAGTGTGTAAGTGTTGTCAGTGTTAGTGTCAGTGTGTGTGTCAGTTTGTGAGTGTAAGTGTGTGAGTGTGTCAATATGTGTATCTGTCAGTGTGTGTGTGTCAGTGTATGAGTGTGTATGTGTGTAAGTGGGTGTGAGTATGTCTATGTGTGTCTGTGTGCAAGTGTGTGTGTTGTCAGTGTTAGTGTCAGTGTTAGTGTGTGTGTGAGTGTGTATCAGTGTATGAAAGTGAGTGTGTGTGAGTGTCAGTGTGTGTAAGTGTGTGTGTGTGTGTGCGTCAGTGAGTGTGAGAGTGAGTGAGTGTGTGTGTCAGTGAGTGTGTAAGTGTCAGCGTCATTGAGTGTGTGAGTGTCAGTGAGTGAGTGTGTCAGTGAGTGTGAGCATCAGTGAATGAGTGTGTCAGTGAGTGAGTGTGTGTCAGTGAGTTTGAGTGAGTGTGAGTGTGAGCGTCAGTGAGTGTGTGTCAGTGAGTGTGTGAGTGTGAGCGTCATTGAGTGTGTGAGTGTCAGTGAGTGAGTGTGTCAGTGAGTGTGAGCATCAGTGAATGAGTGTGTCAGTGAGTGAGTGAGTGTCAGTGAGTGTGAGCGTCAGTGTGTGTCAGTGAGTGTGTGAGAGTGAGTGAGTGTGAGCGTGTCAGTGAGTGAGTGTGAGTGTGTCAGTGTGTGTGAGTGTGTGTGTCAGTGTGAGTGTGTCAGTGAGTGAGTGTGTGAGTGTCAGTGAGTGAGTGTGTGTCAGTGTGTGTGTCAGTGAGTGTGTGAGTGAGTGTGAGTGAGTGAGTGTGAGTGAGTGAGTGTGTGAGTGAGTGAGTGTGTGAGTGTGTGTGTGTGTGAGTGAGTGTGTCAGTGTGTCAGTGAGTGTGTGTGAGTGAGTGAGTGAGTGAGTGAGTGTGTGTGAGTGAGTGTGTCAGTGTGTGAGTGAGTGTGAGTGAGTGTATGAGTGTGAGTGAGTGTGAGTGAGTGTGTAGGCCCCGCTGCCCTCACCTGCTCCTCCAGGTTCAGTTTGTAGGCCGCGAGCTCCTCCGTCATCCTCCCCAGTTTGCTCAGTGATTTGGGATCGGTCCCGAACTCCCGCTGCACGCGCTCAGCCACCTCAGCGGTGACCGACCAACCGTCAGCCCCGGCCCCGGCCCCGCGCCGCGGGCCCTCCGCCGCCATGACAGCTCCTCCCCGCCACGTGACCACTTCCGCCCCCCCCCACCACCACCACCGTCACCATGACAACCGCGGCCTACACCAGCTTCTCCCTCACTGTGACTGACACACTCACTCACACTGTGACTGACACACTCACACACTCACTCACACTGTGACTGACACACTCACTCACACACTGACACTCACACACTCACTCACACTGTGACTGACACACTCACTCACACACTGACGCTCACACACTCACTCACACTGTGACTGACACACTCACTCACACTGACACACTCACTCACACAGTGACTGACACACTCACACAGTGACTGACACTCACACACTCACACACACTGACTGACGCACACACTCACACTGTGACTGACACACTCACTCACACACTGACACTCACACACTCACTCACACTGTGACTGACACACTCACACAGTGACTGACACACTCACACAGTGACTGACACTCACACACTCACACACACTGTGACTGACGCACACACTCACACTGTGACTGACACACTCACTCACACACTGACACTCACTCACACTGTGACTGACACACTCACTCACTGTGACTGACACACTCACTCACACACTGACACTCACACACACTCACACTGTGACTGACACACACGCTCACACTGTGACTGACACACTCACTCACACACTGACACTCACACACTCACTCACACTGTGACTGACACACTCACACAGTGACTGACACTCACACACTCACACACACTGTGACTGACGCACACACTCACACTGTGACTGACACACTCACTCACACACTGACTCACTCACACTGTGACTGACACACTCACTCACACACTGACACTCACTCACACTGTGACTGACACACTCACTCACACACTGACACTCACACACACTCACACTGTGACTGACACACTCACTCACACACTGACACTCACACACTCACTCACACTGTGACTGACACACTCACTCACACACTGACACTCACACACTCACTCACACTGTGACTGACACACTCACTCACACACTGACGCTCACACACTCACTCACACTGTGACTCACACTCACACACTGACACACACTCACTCACACTGACTGACACACTCACTCACACACTCACTCACACTGTAATAATAATAATCCTTGCATTTGATATAGCGCTTTTCACGTCGGGAGGACGTCCCAAAGCGCTTCACAGAACACACTGTAAAGTGAATTGACTGTATATTTGTGGGCGAACGCGACAGTCAATTGCGCACAGCAATGTCCCACAAACAGTCGTAGATTGAAAATGACCAATTTATTATTGCTTTTGGTTTTGAAGGGATTATTATTAGGCTCTGTGTGGAGTAAGGAAACTTGCCCAAGGTTTCGCCCTCTGCCTGGAATTGAACTCAGGTCTCGCGCTTGCAAAGCGAGTGCTCTAACCACTGAGCTACACACACTGTGACTGACACTCACTCACACTGACACACTCACACACACTGACACACTCACTCACACACTCACACTGACACACTCACTCAAACTGACACTCACACACTGACACTCACACACACTGACACACACACACTGACACACACTGACTGACACTCACACACTGACACTCGCACACACTGACTGACACACACTCACACACACTGACACACACACACACTGACACACACACTGACTGACACACACACACTGAAACTCACACTGTGACTGACACACTCACTCACACTGACACACTCACTGTGACTGACACACTCATTCACACACTGACACACTCACTCACACTGTAACTGACACACTCACTCACACACTGACACACTCACTCACACTGAAACACTCACACTGACACTCACACTGACACACACACACTGACACACACACACACTGACACACTCACAGACGCACACTGACACACTCACACACACACTGACACACACACACAGGCACTCACATTGACACACTGACACACACACTGACACTCACATTGACACACACACACACACTGACACACTCACTCACACACAGGGCACACACACACACAAAGGGCACACTTACACATACATAAGGCACATTCACACACACACACAGGACACACACATACACTCATAAGGCACATACACATACAGGGCAGACGCATATTCACAGGGCACACACACTCACAGGGCACAGACACACCTACACGGGGAAAATACACAGACGGTGTGTAAATGCAGCAGTAAATGGCTGATTACTCATCACTCCAAGGGAAAAGGACTCGGTGCCGAGGTATCCAGAATGGTGAGTTAGGCATATATATATATATAAATAAATGCGGCTGGAATATTGACAATATGATGACTTAAGTGGTAATGACAAGTTAAATCAGGGTCAAGTTATCTGGATTTGCTGTAAACACACACACACAGTTACACTGTGCAAATACACACAGTTACACTGTGCAAATACACAGAGAAAATATACACACACTGTGGAACTAAATACACTCACACAGTGCAGGTATACACATACAGTGGAAATATACCTCACGACTGGTAGGATACCAGTCTGCACCATTCAGATTATGATTTTATTTACACATATATTCTCTCGTAATAATTTGCATAGTTCAGAGCCAATGAAAGGCAGCATTAATGAGCCCAAAATTTCTATTTGGGCTTTTATAGAGCTACGACATTTAAAGTTCTTCGCATGTAAAACAAGAGATCCAGCGCTCTGCAAGCCAAATCACAATCTTACTATTAAAAACAGTAACTTGCATTTACACGGCACCCTTCACGCGGGTTAGTGACTCACAGCTCTTAAAAACATAAGTGAAACATAAGAGAAAACCACTGGCAACTTCATTCATAATAATAAACCTGCGTGAATCTCTCTCTCTAAACGGGAGGAAAAAACCTTCCTGAAACCAACACAACATCCACAAACATGAAGTTCCTTCCCCTCATGAGTTGGCCCTTGGGTGCTTGAAAGTAAGAACCGCTCATCACTACCCCATTCATGAAGATTGTTACAGTAAATCCTACTTGGTTCTCCAATTTCATATCTTATTCATGATTAACCCTAAGTATTGTTCCATAAGCCCCAGACAGCAGTCAGCACTCAATGCATCTTTGGATTTACCCACACTCCACTTTAGGGAGTGTGAAGCGATTTGAGATTTCCTCCTGATGTGGAAGGCACTATATTAAATGACAATAACTGACCCATTGAGAAGAATTGCAGCTGTGAGCCCACTTTCACTAAAACGATTGCTCTTCACAAATCCTACCCTCCCTCCCTCTCTCTCGTTTGTTGAAACAGTTGGAATTTTGGTTTGGCCATTGGTAAGTTCCTTGCCGTGTTTATTTTGCTGTTGAGGAGCTGTAGGGGGCTGGGTGGCTATTTTCCTGGTGCAGCCTGACCACGTGATGCAACTGAAACGTTTTCACCTGCCTCCCATCTTCACCGAGGCCTAGCGACGATCAATAACATGAATAAAAACACACGAACGGCAGGCGACCGTTCTGTGTAGTGCAGCATAAGTGATAGGAGAAGGCCACAATTCTGAAATGAATCAAGAGTTTGACAATCCAGCTGCTGCCCCAGCGATGGGGAGAGCGCCAGTGTTTCCCAACACCTGAGGGCTGACGTTTGGCCATGATAGGCTGACTCTAGTAGGCTTGTTTATTAACGGTCCACCCCTTCTGATAGCAAGAAGGCTGAGAAATACTTAACTCGATCTCTCTTGCACAGCTATTAGTAGCTAGTTACAAGGCATTAGTCAGAGGCTCACCCGATCAGCTCTTTCCCAGCTCAAAGGTACGCTTGATTATTTAAAACGTCCCATTCCTTAACCAGCATCAAAGAGTGAGAGAGTTCTTTGCAGATCACTTACGCTACGCCCCAATACTTGTAACAATATAATAGTTACGTTTCCAGGCCGGAGCAGACCCTGATCTAGCCTTTTTTGGGGGGTCAGGCGGGTGTTTTTAACACGTGTGGAAACCCATCACCATGTTTAAGAGTATCCAAACCAAGCTGAGATTTCCATGCATATTTGTGCCCGCTGTCTGCAGGGTGCTTAACGACAGGTCGGGGTAGGTCAGAGCCCTCCCTCCCTCCAGTCGCTTCCCGTGTTTGTCACAAATCCACTTCACTGCCCGATCCTAGACATAGCAAATGGGTCAGAGGAAGTCCTTCCGCTGCATCCCCAGGAGCTCGGATACCTGTCCCAACTTCCCAAACCAATCCTTCAACAAATCTACCTCCGTCTACCTACCTTTCACTTTCCATGGTTTGTTTTCCTACTGTATCACTACAATAAAAAACAATTGAAGGATGGTCACACTACTGCATATTTGTTCATACATAAATAAAAATAAACATAGAATCTGTGTGTAATACCGCCAAAGCACTGTTTATTAATAATAAGTGTGATTACATGTTGCTTCAAAATACAAGAGCATTAAGGATTCCGAACATCTGAAAAATAAAAGCAATCTTTGAAGATCAAAGAAAAAACCCTGAAAGGTTTTGCTGGCTTCTTACATAAAATTAAAATCAGCCGAATATTTAATTTGCTCCAACACTTCAGCAGATGTTACAAAACAATGATCAGACATTTAAAAACACTCCACGTTTCACTTTTCTGGGGGAAAAAAAAACTCCAAGCAGACCTTGTTTCCATTTCTTTTGGTTATCGCAGCCACACAGTGTTCAGCTGAGTTTGGTTTTTTATGCTGGTGTCCATTTTGAGAACTTCTCGAATGGCCATAGTGGCATACGTAGACGGAGGAAGTGAGAATTCCATTTTCAGGGCTCTGCATTTACCTTCTGTAATAAGAAAGTCTTAAAAATTCAATACAAGAATGTAAAGAAGCTGATTATCTTATGAACTGACTTTAGTTATTCCTTCGTCCACAAAAAAATCAGTCACTCCACTTTATAGGATACCCTGTGAAGTGCTACAAGACATTCAAATGACATGAAAGTCACTTTATCAAATACAAGGTTTATTATTTATTATTATTAATAATTATAATTAATAATTCCAGATACCCACCAGAGTGCTGCAATGGTGCATTATGCTTCATTCTTACTCCCAAAATGACAAAGTGGAATTTTAATTTCTGGTAATCTGCTAGGTAATGAATAGTTTTTAAATGTATATTGCAAAGATTTGCATCTTGATTCATTTACAAAATATTTCTTACATTGTCATATTTATGGATTTATGCACATTATCTTTATTTAAGGAGCTTTGAATGTCTAAATGAGTTTCAGGGGTTAGTATAGGTACAGTAGTGTCATGTTCAATGACATTCAAAGTTGTGTTATTTATAACAAAATAACCGATTTATGTTTTCCAATTTAGTATCTCTTCCCCCACTCCAATTGATTTCATTCTCAAGACAAATATTCCTACCTTTCGAAAATTCAGGCAACGGTGTCCCTTCCAGCCTTTCCAGGTCTGTGTGAATCAGTGGGATTTTGTGATCATCGTACGCAAGAACATTCCTGTGAGATTGAGATTCCGTGAAATAATTCAAAGTTTACAGTGGTCTGACCTCAATAAAGTACTTAACTTAACCTCAGCATTACAAGGCACTGGTCATTTCCAACTTGAACTCTTGTTGCAAGTAAGCATGATCAATAACTTGCATTTATAAAGCGCCCATCACATGGGACAGTCTCAGAGCGCTTAACAATGGCGGAGCTTGATGCCGAGCTGGGGGTGGGGGGTGACCATAAGCACGGTCAAAGAGGAAGGTCTTCAGCTGTGATCCAAAACGGGAAGGAGAGAGCAGTATTTGACAAATGGGGCAGAAGGTTCCTAATTTACAGTATTCGCTAAACTCATCAAAACCACAGGTCGTCGAGCTTTAAACATCTCTCGTGTAAATACCCTGAAATGAATCCCAACCTCACAGTATTAAAGGCTTAGAAGAGAACAAGAGAGGACATTGAGTTAGAAAAATATTTTCTAGTGGTACAAACTAAAGATGGCTGGTTCCAGTGATGGGACGTGTCAATTTATTGTCACGGCACAACTGCAACTATTTGACAGAAATAAATAAAAAATAAAGTGTGGTTCAAAACTTGAGCTATTCACAAACTGATTCATTTATTGGCAATGAAATAAACTTTGCCACTGCCGATCCTTTGATGGGGCCACTCTACCCAAGCAAAGTCCGTTATGTTGGAGATGAAATTTTTTTTGGCACGGAAGAGATTACCAGGTGTGATAGCATCTCCCAGAATATATACAGCAGATGGGGAGGCTTCACCAGCCTATTTCTGACCTCGCTTTGGTAACCAGCCAAGTGGTGGATTGGCAGTGAACTGAGAACAGGCTACGCACTCTGACTTCTCGCCAATGTGGAATCCTGTAGCGTACTGGTTACAGCACTCGCCTCGCAAGCGAGAGGACCCGGTTTTGATTCCCGGACAGGGCAAAATCTTTGGCAAGTTCCTTACTCCAGCCACCTCTGTTTAAGTAATTCCTTCAAAAAATAATAAATTGATCACTTCAATCCACGACTGTTTGTGGGACACTGCTGTTCGCAATTGGCCTCGGCGTTTCCCCCCACAAAATATATATATCCACTTTACAGTATATTCTATGAAGCACTTTGAGATGTTTCAAAGACATGATAAGGCGCTGTATCAAATGCAAGGATTATTATTATTATTAATAAATAGGAACCGGGTTGTTAGTCAATTGGCGGATAGCTTTCCGGGAGTAATAATCCCTTAAAAATAAATAAATAGTAATTTGGTTACTCAAATCATAACTGTTTGTGGGACACCGCTGTGCGCAATTGGCTGCCATGTTTCGCCCACAAAATATACAGTCAATCCACTTTACAGTATATTCTGTGAAGTGCTTTGAGATGTTTCAACTACATGATAAGCGCTATATCAAATGCAAGGATTATTAATATTATTATCATCATGATTAAAACGTGAACAGGCTAGTGAAAATGGACTGATGAAAAAGTATTTAAAAGACTGAAGTTTAAAAAAAGTACAAAAAAAACAGCATTATCAAAGTCGAGGGATGACAAAGAGGTGCAGCAATGTGGGTCACCTGGTACATAGAAAGGAAGAGATTGTAACCTCACTGCAATATTAATTTAAAAACCAATGCTTTAGGACTCACCAGCTAACATCCTGAGGGCGAATGATAATCTTCCTGTATGCTCCTGATAGGGAATAATCCCGAATTCTGTGTCTCATGTTGTTTATATCCAAGTCATCAACATCCAGCATTTCCTTGTAGCACTCTCCAACTTAAAGACACATACATAGAATGAACCTTTAGAAATACATACCGTTTTTAGGCAAAGAGTATGAGTGAACCAATCTAATACAATTTACATTTAATATCTGGCACTAGATACTGAATTATACTCCAGGAAACAAACTAGAGCAAAACATACAAGACATGCGGTGTTGGTAGAGAAAGCTGAGGCAGATAGGTTTGATTCAAAACGCAGCCATGAAAATGAGCAGATTTCCAACTTGAAAGATCAGGATTTTTTCAAAGTGTTTTAGATGCAAAGCTTGGATATGGAAATTCATCTTTACGAACTGCCGGGTGCTGTTCTTATTAGTGAGTTAATAAAACTGGCTGCCACGGTGCCCTTAGGTGAATGCTTGTTACTGCAAATGAGCAATATGTATCTCACCTACGTGTTAAAACAAAGTGATGAATTCTCAATGAGCTTGTTGAGACTTCCGAGGCCACATTGACGTTAGCAACACAATATAGCAAAAAACGATCATTAAGTCACACAAGAGACGAACTGTGCAGTGTCCTCATAAGGACAACTCACACATTGCAAACTGATTTCTCATGGATGTGGTAATTCCACCACATACCAAAGAAGAGGCATGTGGTGCTTTGTTTTTTAAAAAAACAGCTTAAGTCCACAAGATCCACATTTCAATTGGCCCAAGGGTGCAGCAGCTCTGTGTACCAGTGCAACCATCACAGAGACTCTTGCACTTCAAAACATGCCAAGCTCCTAAAAGACTGGGTACATCTGTGCAGGAAGGAAGAGATGGAGTGTGTGTCGGGGGTGGTGGTGGTGGTGGGGGGGGGGTGGCATTTAACTTTCCCCCTGCATCAATCACTTCCTCACTGAAAGTCACATAAGGTTATTCGCAAGCAGTGTGTTCACAGCAGACAGACAACAGTGCAGGTGATGTAAAGCAGGAACAAAACAATCAACATTGTCTGCCATTTATTCCAAGCAAATCCAACGAGCTTACTTTTGTGCTTTGGGTAGAGGACATCAAATCCAGGCAAAGGCATCACCACGTCATGAATGGAGTATTTGTCAACATCAGATTCCTCAATGTGAACAGCTGTGGCTGCAAAATAACAATGGAACAAAAATAAATTTACTTCACGTCTCGAGACATCAAAATGCTGATTCTTCATTTCAAGCACAGAAATAAATAAACACAGCACTGAACCTCTGGGAATGGTTAACTTATTACAGCAAACTTTACAGGATTATCAGAAGCACATTCAACAGTAACCACATCCCAAAGCTTTCATTAAACTGCAATAGCAAAGGGCTCATTTATGAAAAAACCCAGAAAATCCTGCACAACTATTAATCCGAGGAATGTCTTGACGTAAACTGAAATTTGTGTTAAGCCCTCCTAAACATTGCTCCTAGATCCATAAGTATGGGGCGAACTCGACAGCATTTTCAGCCCCATCCATTCGCATGCCATTCCCAGCAAAACCTCTCCTCCAAAGGGTTCACAATAATCCAAAATATTTCCATTGATTTGTGGCTGCCACAGAATCTTGAAAAAAACAAACGAAATGCAATTAAGTATTACATTTCCAGTATATCATCAAATATTTCCAGGATGTAATTTCAGTTTTAAGATCCACCTGAAGCCCTACACAGCACAAACCCATAAAGATTAGGAGATTGTGGTCAGCATTGTTAGCTGACGGATAATGGAATGGCTAATGGAAATACATTTTATTTTTCAATTAACGTTTGAATGGACTCAGTTTAGAACAGAGTACTTTAGCCCAGTTCTCTCTCTCTTTCTCTCTCTCCCCCACGCCAAAAACTTACAATAAATATTCTCGTCATTTACCTCCTTTCAGTGTTAAATCACCGGCCACTGCTCTAAGTCCATAATCTTCAATCCTCTTGCTCACAAGTTTATTCCACACATAGCTCTGATAGCTGTGAATGTACATTAATCGGTTATTCCTTGGAATCTGAAAACAAGGAATAGGATAAGCGAGTACATTTTTTCAAATCAACATACATTGACCACAAGAAACAGACACGGGAATCAATCAGAGAGGGTGTCACTCTGCACTGATAGAAGAGCTGGTTTATCTCAAGCTATCAATTAGATTGCTACTAAGTGTTTGACTTAATTCAGGGTGATCCAACTGATGGCCCACGGGCCACATCCGGCCCGGGGGATGTTTACATCTAGGAGCATGACCCCCACCCCCCACTTCCCTCCCACCCTCCGGGAAAAACAACGGAGAGAGAGAGAGAGAGAGAGACAGATACAGACGCACACGTTGATAGAGTGAGTCACACACAGATACAATGACAGGCAGACAGATTCCTTGTCATTGGCTGTGTCATTCTTTCAAAAAATGTTATGAATTTTTACATTGTCTATGTAGAGTTTGCACTGTAACTAAAATATATTGAAATTAAGTAATATAGTTACACACTGTGAAACATAGGTTTGCTATATGATTCTCATGGGTTATGTTTCTGGAAGGGAAACACGAAAATATATTTTTTTTTACGCAGCCCGCAGACATTTCTCAAATCTGGCATCAGCCGTCAAAGAGTTGGACCGCCCCCCACACCCGACTTAATTTATTAATGACCAATACATTTGTCATTTGGATTACTTTACAGCATCAAACTCAACAGGAAAGACATGATATTACTGTAAATAAGGAATGTCTTCAAGCTTGACAGCACAAAAATCTGCAATACATCAGTACACTGTGTGCAAAACTGAATAGATAATCAATGCACTCTATATTAATCTTTATTAATTTTTAATAAGGCAAGCTGATGCTATGTGAGGGACCAGGCTGCAAGTCTTTACATTGAAATACTAATATTAATGCTTGCATTTAACATAGCGCCTTATCACAGCTTCAAGACTTCTCAAAACGCTTCATAGAATATACCGTAAAGTGACTTGATTGTATATTTTGTGGGCGAAACACGGCAGCCAACTGCACACAGCAGCGTTCCACAAACAGTCGTGGATGGAGTGACCAAATAATCATTTAAAATATATATTTTTTTGGAGGGATTACTACCCCTGGAAGAGCGATATGCCAATCGACTAACAACCAGGTTAAACTTACAATACCAAACGCTGACACGATATTCTTCATCCCATATCTTGCCAATCCTCGCAGCAACTGTCCTTCCACACACCTTTTGACAGGGAGCTTTCTCAGTGCAGCTTCAGGGTCTTAGTTTTAGCCCACTCTTCTCTGCATTTTACCAGATAACCTTTCTCCGCTGGAGAAACAGAAATAGCATCAAATATTTCAGGTAAATATGGGGTGATGGTGGGGTGGTTGGGAGTGGGGCAATATTGGAAGAGAAAAGTTGCATAGTTATATAACACGGAAAGGACCATTAGGCCCAACTGGTCCGTGAGAGTCTTTGTACAACATGAGCCCCCACTATTTCTATGCCTCTCTCCTGTGCTTCTCTATTCTCTTCTCCCTCACACACACATCAAGAGGAGGAATGGAATGAACTGCTTTCGACTTTGAAAACAGACAAGCTTCCCCCGATCGCTCAACATATGTATCCAGTGAATAGCTGATCAATCCCAGTCTGTAGCGAGTTAACCGACATCAGCAGGGACAACAACAACAAATTGCGTTTATATAGGGCCTTTCTCACCAGGACATCCCGGGAGAACAGGAGTTGGAGCGTCCCATGTAAAGAGAGGGAAAAATAACAAAGATCCTGATTATAACCTCAGGAAAAGGGCATACATGCAACCTGGGTTGAGGACAAAATGCAACTACCTTCACCTATTCGGCCATCAAATAGCCTAATAACATGCACTGTAGAAGATGCACTCAAATGACAATCACTGGGGCTGGATACCCGAGAGCGCTCAATGCTTATAGAATTGTTCTCCTACAGAAAGAAACCAAAGTCAAAACACATTGGGTGAGGGGTGAAGAGAGGTCCCAACTACACTTTGAATTGGTAGGTCCTGAGATGCAGAATTTCCTACCTCCAGGGCGAGGCTTTAGGATCAGATCCATGACTTCACTCCAGTCGTTCTGCAGAATTGCTCTAAATAATATAACCCAGGGGAGAATAATCAGAACACATTTGTCCAACATGATAGAAAATGCAACAATATATCAGATTTTCACATCTGCAAATGAAAATCAAAACATTTTCTCACTGATCTTTCTATTCTGGTTATTTCAGTGAAGACCAAACTAATAGAAATCACACAAGATCACAAAGGATGTGAATGAAGAAGGCCCTTCGACTCATTTGATCTCATATTTTCAGGCTATCCACCCTATACTGTAAAGTGAATTGACTGATGTATTTTGTGGGCGAAACACAGCCACCAAATGAGTGACTAAATTATTATCAAATTATTCCCATTTATAGTATCAAGTGGTTTCTTAAATGGGTCCCGGAGAAACTAACCAGCTGTGTAGCTAAGAATATGCTACATTAAATTACATCAAGCACAAGTTCATTATTTACTAATTTCCAGAAGATGTACACTTTTTCCATTAAGTCATTAATTTATATCTCACCTGCCTTGTGATTCAGGTTGACGAAAAGAAGAGGAATTTTCCTCCTAGACATTGTGACTTGTACTTCCTACCTCATCCAAATTCATATCCCCACAAAAATTCAAACTCATTTATTTATGTCATTGCTGGCAAGGTTGAACTGTAGCTGTGTGGTTTGTCAAGAAATTAGCATTCATTTGATTTCTAAATAATCTCATTCTTTTAGACACTTGATAAGTTTCTTTCACTCAGAAGGCCATATGAATTAAGTCCACATAACCAATGCTGGAATTTTTTTGTTTTGTTTTGTTTTGTTCAAACAAAGAACTTGTCAACAGCAGATCTTTTACAGATGAACTGCCCTTCATTTGACTCCGTTCCTTTGGAAACAGGCTGGGTCATTCATGAACCATGCAGTCAGTAAGAAAAACAAGGCACAGCTTACTTTCCCACTTGGTAAGTTGGAACTGCTGTCGTCCCAAATCGTTGCATTCCATAGTAGTTGATAAATCCAATCTCCCTGAGGGAAGTCATGGCTTGCTCCACCTGCTCATGTGATCCGGTGATATTCCTACAAATCACAAACAGACAGTGTAAGGCCAGTACGACAATGATTACAATATGGTAGTTCTGCTGTACAAAATCACACACCAAATCACGCTATAAAAATGGCCTCTGGCTAGTGCTTCCTGGTTACAGTACATCACTGACATCATGTGCACACAACCATTTAAACTGATCTGGAAGTGAAGGGAATAATATTAAATTCCTCTATCTCATCTGATTTATCCTGTAACCCAACATATCACTAAAAGCAGATCAGATCTTCAGGCAGAGCAATACAGCATGAGAAGGAAAGGGAATAATCTTTCATATACTGTTCGATGTTACACTCTCGACTTAAGCAGTAGTATAGTGTCATCTAAAATTTCATACGTCACAGAAAACAGGTCACAAATATAACAGAAATGGTGTCTCTAAACTCGTATAAAAGCCTACGGTATAGAAGAATCATCTTCAAGAGGAACACCTCTAAATTCTGCAAAGTGAAACTCAGCTCTTTAACAGAGTGATGCTGCGCAAATCATCGTCATCAACAATTACATCAAGTTTCAGGTCTCTTCAAGTTTCCAACCAAAACCCGCGAGCGTGGTAGATTTCACACAAAAACAAAACACCTTCTTTAACCTAAATTTACAAAACAGCCCAATTTACAAACACCACCACCAAATTACATTTGTATCGCACCTTTCAGGTCAGGGATTTGGACAAAACGCTGACATTTTATATACACGGCTAAGCCACTGGATGGAGCACTTCACAATGTGCTGCATCCCAAAATGTGGCAGAGGAATTGTGACAGCCACTGCAGTGAAATCCCACAGCCATATCACATCAGCCTGTTGTCTTGAGAGGAAATCGCGAGTCAGGATCCCACAACATGGAGACCGCAACAGACTTACACTCCACTCTTCCACTCGTTTGCTTGGCTTGAATAGTACGCAGCTTGATAGCGACAAACATTAGGTTATAAACAGGTTTGAGAGGTTTTTTTTTTACACACACGCGTTCTACGTACCTCAGAACGATGGTAAAATGATTTCCTTGCAATTCACCCAGCTTCAGAGGGTGCTTTTTGTAACTGAAATTTCCCAGTCTAAAGTTCATCAAACATTTGTTCAAATGAGAGAGTCTCTGTGCTGTTATCCTGCGAGAAATACAATTATTTATTATCCCCCAAAACACAAGTATATGTGTCTCTATCATTGTCTACACTAGTGGTGGCTAACCTCTTTGGTGCCAACAAAATAAACATTTCTTGAATAAATATTTCTTGATTTGTAGCATACATCTATGCTATTTTGTTATTTCTATTATTTTGTTGGCTATCACTGGTTACATGAAAGCCATGGTCAGATGATTATTGTGAATACTGAGGTCAGGCAGAGGCTGCACAACACACTATGGTCGGATGGAGACTAGGTCGGTCAGCGTGTACACAAAACCACGGTCGTGTGGAGACTGCTTCTGTCAATAAAATAAGAACCAAGTATATAAATGTTTTCTGTGGGATAGAGGGAGGTAAGCAGGGCCTCTCTGACATTGGATGGTCTCCGAAAAGACACGGCTGAAAAATGTCAGGCTACAATAGATGACGGGACAGTTTGGCTCATCAATGAGATGGGGGAAGCAGACATGCAATTAAACCCTGTGAGCCAAAGCCCTAAGGGTGGGGTGATGCTAACTAGGCACACATTATGCACAGTTCCCAAATCCTACAGGAAGTGGGTAAATTGTGGCAAGCATTTCAGGAGAGAAAATTGGGAAAGAAAAGTAGTGACTGACCGGCTTTTCCAGCAGATCAATATAAAGTAGGAAAATAACTTGCCTTTTTATAGAGCCACATCGAAATATTGCAAACGAAAGGTCATTGACCTGAAACCTTATTTTCCTTTCTCCATGGATGCTGCCTGACCAGCTGAGTGTTCCCAGCAACTTTTGTGACTAATTTTTTTTATGTACTTCTCCCTATGATACTTACTTTAAGACTGCAATTTCTTGTACTGTTATAGCCCTTTTATCTTTGGTCCCCATGTAGGAAAATATGTTTGGCTTGACTCTGTGTGTAAAAGAAATTCAGGTAACTTCATAAGTCCTTTTTAAAGTAATCAGCACAACCGAGATTAAAAATCAGAACATTAAAATAGTTGCATAGTTACAGACAATGAAGAATGCAGGTGCAGCTATCAGGATAGATTGTATAGCTTGGGCGTTTTTTCACTGGATAAAAGATATTTACAACAACAACAAAATTACACTTGTGTAGCGCGTTTCACTTTGGGAGGACGTCCCAATACGGGGGGAAACTAATAAAAGCGTTTCAAATTATAAAATGGTTTGATTAAGATAAACTAGATAGGTTATTTCCATTGGTTGGGGAGTCCGTAAACAAGGGACACAAACATTAGATAACAATTAGGCGATCTTAAAGAGAATCTAGGAGAAACTGCTTCACGCAGAAGGTAGTGAAATTGTGGAATTCACTGCCTGAAGAGGTAGTTGAATCAGATGGTATAGATGCATTCAAGAGAAGCTAAACCTTCACATGATGGAAAGAAGAATAAAAGGGTATGGGAGGGAGTAAAGGAATGGGTGAACACCGACTAGTTGGGCCGAGTGATCTGTTTCCGTGCTGTACATTCTGGTGTTTCAGGTGTCTATGGAGCAGAACTGGCTTCTAGTGATCATTGGAAGGGGCACCTTCACCTCCTTCATGGTTCAAGACTTATTTACCAGCACTGCAAGCATGGTCACAGACTGGCAGAGACAGACATCAGTCAAGGCACTGATCCATACAGACATGATTGCAAGACCACAGCCTGAGCTGCCACAAGTCAGGCTAGCAACTAAAATGTCACTGCTGCATAGCTCAGTGAGAGAAACTCACTGATCCTCAGAAATACACAAAACTGGCACTCATTGATCTGCACATTTCTTCCAAACCGTTTATATGAAATTGAATGCAGAAGTTGCATTGATAAAAAAATGAAATATCCTCCTGAATTCACAATGAGACTGAAAATAGAAAGGCTGAAAAATGGTTTAGCAAATTACAAACAAGTCACATCCCCACAAGCAAAATCTGCCAATTTTGAAACCGTGAGCATCGCTGACTCGACATACCTCAGGAATTTAGACAGCACGTTAATAGCATCCATTGTGTCCTTGTTTTCCTTGTACAGCACAAAGTGGCAGTAACTCCCTCTGCTTTTAGGCCATGAGTGCTTTCTCGGATCTTTGAAGAGAAAACATTTCATTAATCCAAAAGGAGCGCTCGTTGGGAACTGCGCCCTAATTTTTTCCCTGCTTTGACCTCTCGTAAGAGAGCAGTTAGCATGTTAGTTCGGAGCAGTAACCAGAAAGACTATTTACCAAGAAAAACAGCTGGCCTGTTCCTCCTCCCCATTTTTTCTCCTTCCGTTCAATTTATCAGTAAACAAAAGCAAACTACTGTAGATGATCACCGAGTCCTGAAGGCCTGCTAAACATGGTTACGCCGTTGCATTTCAGATGCTTTCTAATCTTGGCCATTTTGCTAACGAGCCAGGATTATATAAGGAGTGAAATTCACCAGCAACATTTCAGTTTACCTGCCCGCCACAGTCGCTCAGCCCTACCATTCACCAACAGTCACCGAAACAATGAGTTGATTCCAATAGACAGCATTAATTCTTTAATAATCGCAGTGCAACTCTAACAGAAAATAATGCAACAAACCTCCACATCCGGTCAGAGGTTTCCATTTTTTTCAAGCACAAACTCGCCACATACAGCACATTCTATAATCGGCCATGTTCAGTAAGATTATATTCAGTAGCTTTTTTATTAAGAAAATATTCTTCTTTAGCGTAGTGGATGATACCGACACAGTGATCTTTAATATAACTCACAATTACAACGCAATCATTAAGAAATAAATTATTTGAATGTATGCAGAACAATAAACTATGTATACGAGCCACAGCAAGTATTATAGATTTACACAGACACAGGTTTAAACCTTTTTGACTAATGCTTTCTTGGCCTGAGCTGCACTAACTGTATAGATAGAGGTTGTATGTTAGAGGTTATTTATAACAGAACTTGGCAGAAGCAAAGCTGCTCAGGTTTACCAACGCACAAACTGACTGAAAAAAAATGTGCTCATTCAAATGTGGCTTCAGCGTTAATGTTCCAGCGAATTATACAAACATTCCTTGTAAACACACTGGTCCACTCAGAAAGCAGGGTATGCAGCTGCTTTTGTGTCCCCTTAATAATAGATTGTGGTAATTTAATTTGACACCTTGCCAAGCATTCATTGGGTTCTGCTTCAGTCATGTTCAATTGAGTGTTGTGTCACCTCCCACATGACAAACGGGAGTTGTACCTTAGCAACCAAACACAGAACTTACATTGAGTCAGTACACAACCCATGAGGCATTTCCCAGCAGCATTACTGTAGATCAATCCCTCCCCCTTCACAGCCACACAAAAACGGACAATATGGTTTCATCAATCTAAACACTGCACACTTACCACAGATTGACGATAGGCATCTTTCACAAGATACTCAGTCATTGCTTCAAAGGCCAGAGGTGTATTTTAGACAGTCTTTCTTATGAATTAAAAAAAAATGACCATACATTGCACGTAATGTTTTCTATTAACAGCTCCATTAAAATAACCTGCTATTGGGTGAGCTGCATAATACGGCCCTATAAATGCCTGACAATTTCTTTTCAGTGGAATGAAACAAATCTTACCTGCTGCTTTGACCTCTGTCCAACCATTGAAAAGCATAAGAAGTATAAAGAGAGCATTATTTAATTGTAGAACAAGATTCCTGAGTGTGGGGGCATTGCAGGTGGCCATGCAGGAACCGCAGCTATGAATGTGCGAAATATGTGAAGTGGGGAAGTCATCAAGCACTCCAAGCATCACAGTTCAAAGTTTGTTTTTACAATAGCTCAGGAGACTCGCAATTCAACCGGAAATATAAGTCAAAACCTCTCTTGCTCTGACCAGAGCTCGTTATACAACACTATTCAATGGTAATTTTGAAATAAAAGTAAGGAAACAAAACCCTCTACAACTGCATTAACCAAACGGAACTTTATTCCGTTCTGACAAGTTCATTTGCTTCCAACTTCCTCAAACACAACTTACAACGGTATTCAAAGAGTAAACCTCAATCAGCGCACGGAAAAACACTAAACATGCAGGATCAAAGAATCAATGGCATCATTTTTGTTGCAGAACTTCTCAGCTTCCTTTGTACAGCACAAAAGTTGTTGGTTGTATAAGTGAAGCTTTGTGCTTGTGTGAAGCAAAATATTTCCCCCTTTTAAGTATTTTTTCCTTTGTCCAAACTAATTATTTTCGGCTTCCTATACCACCCATGCAAGATCAACACACATTATATACATAGATTTGCTTTTCAGCTTCGAGTTGGCCTTGATCAAGAATAAATAGAAACAAAGCACTCAACCTGCAGGTTTAATCGTGGATTATGCACCTCAATGGATAATGGAATCTGTATTCTAACAGGATCCACACTTGCAATCCAGACATTCTGCCAGAATTTGGTGCCTGCACAAACGTCTAACTGCAACTTAATGCTGCTTTTCTCAGTCTCCCAAACCTAGGAATACAAAATTACGTACAAGCGCGAAAGCAAGTTAATGACAATTAAAAAGATAAACTGTCTTGAACGCCACTAGTAGTCAGTTTGTGAAGATGGAACACCCAGGTATAGTGCCCCACTGTCACCTTTATGAACATGCTAGGATTAGGATGTAGGAGAGGTTTACAGCGTCTCATTTGAATTATGGCACCTTTAACAATTCAGTACACCTCCAGCACTGCACTGAGGCGTCATCCTAGACTTTACGAGTTCAAAGTTACGGACGTGGAGCACAAAATCACAACATTCAGAAGTGAGAATGCTGCCAACATAACCAGGCTGACGTCTAATTAAATGGACAGCCAGGAAATTATTTTCGCTATATTTCATCATTATATATATTGGGCAGATTTATTTTCAGTTTGCACACTTTCAAGTCAGAATGCTTAATGTGAAATCTTTTAATATTTTTTAAAAAAAGCTATTTTCTCCACCTTTCTGATATTTTCCTTAATGTTTTGAAACCTTAAAGGCACATTCCATTCAGCACAGAAATAACAAATCCAGCCTCCATGTGAAGCACACATTTTTTTGTTTACGTGAGTGCCTGTAACTAGCTGACTGTGAATTATCTGGTCAACTTCACTCATGGAAAAATCCTGTTCACTGAGCACCATCCATACATTATGCAATACGTCTGCGTATTTTATTTTAAAAGTAACATTATAATTGGCCTTTGTTCTACTTTGAATTATTGCAATGGCTTTGCAGCTCAACTACAAGAAAACCAGTCAACAAATGAAATTTTGGCCCTCCGTGCACAAGAGACTATTGTGTTTATTTCCTGCAGCTGCCTTTGCCTTTGTGATTCTGCTTTTGGTCTCTAATCCAAGATGAAACCTTAAACTACAGTCCCATCTGTCTGTTCAGATGGATATTAATGGTCCCCCAATACCATTGGAAGAGAGACGAGTTTCTCCCGACGTACAATACTCCAGATGATTCGGTCATTCACTTCATTGCAACATGTGGGACTTCGCTGTGTGCAAATTGGCTGCCATGTGTGCCTGCAAAAATCAGTCACTACACTTAACAGAACTGTACTTACTGTGGAGTACTCTGAGACACTGCAGCATTATAGATATTACATCAAATGCAGGAATTATTATTTATTACAGATATAAAACTGGATTATATGCCTGGCCAATCTATAGTAATGGTAAAGAAACTGGTAAAATGTTAGTAAACTGCCATCGTTTTCACATACAGATTGACTAAATGGAGCAAAAACCTGTGGGGCAGATTGTATATAGGGTGTGGAAGTATCTATTTATCCCTCCCCCTCCCCAATCTAAACATCCCAAATGATTATGCGTCTACAGCCACCTATGCAATCAATGTTTTCAATCCCCTGGGTGGGAAGAAATGCTTTCTGATCCCATTTCCAACTCCTTATCTCTTATTGTAAGATTAACTAGGAGCAATTTGCTAGAAGAGGCTCAGCAGTTTCTGCACAGTCTTGATAAGACTCAATAAATTAGGCATGGAGGGATCTTTCTACTCGGAATTAGAAAATGCAATTGAGGCTTCAATCTCACCACAGAGTTTGATGTGATGCAGAATAAGCAACACCTTGAAGGTCAGTCAATACCATGGAACTGAACAAGCACGTCACAAGAACTGACCAGTAGTTTGCAAACCTATGTCAATATGGCTATGAGTAAAAATACTATTTATTGGATCCATCCTGTTTTATAAGAACATTTTCAATAAACCCAAAATAAAACCTCAGTTTAGCAAATGTCTTGTCCTGAGCAGTCCAGAAGTTTATCAGTGGTGTCAAATTACTAGGCAGCGTCGATGTGTTTAAACTTGCATCGAAAATCCTCAAATGTGTACGTCTATCTAACAATGGTTTGTGTAGAAACATTTGAGAAGCAGGAACATAATGATTTCAGGGGCTTTGGCTGCATTAACATAGGTCATTTGAAAATCAGAGGCAGCTAGTTCACTGAACTGCCAGTCAGACCTGCCTGCAAAGTGGCTTAGCCATACATTCGGATGGTAGTGTGCTTAATCAGGTGAAAAGGCGGATGATGTGTGAAGCGTGATGTGAAAAGTTTTCTGCCTTCCTTCCTCAACTACTCTGTAAAACAGCAACCTCTGTTTCCAATCAGTCACTCTTGCACATTGGCTTCACTTGTACTAGACCCGAAGGCATAGTATAGCTCACAGTTCATTTTGAATGTCAACTGTGTTGTACTTGTTCTATCTGCTGTTAAAGCGTAAAGTTGCTCCCTGTCTGCACAGCCAGACTCCACAACTGTGACCTATTAAATATACCAAGGCAGCTTCCCAGCACAAACCACAGGTAAGTTTCATAGCATTTCTCTAGCTGGAATCACTCTACCAATTAGGGCTTTGTCTCAAGGGGTTCCAAGTCTCATGGTGAGCCAGACAGGGTGGTCAACCTTTAAAAGTTCCTGTGATGTGTCTCATTGAAGCCACTACCCCCTAGGGACATCCTGCTTGCTTTTTTCCCCCTTTCTTCCCACAAAATACACAGTCACTACACTTTACTGTATATCCTGCAAAGCGCTTTGAGACATCCTCCTGAATCAAAAGGCAATATATCAAATGCAAGGGTTATTCATATTATTATTCTTTCCTTCCCCTCCCCCCACAGCAATCAAAGAGAATTGTTTTTAAAGTTATGGTTCTCATCGTATTGACCTCAAAAGGGTTGAAGAACTGAAGTGAACCCGAACCTCACAGTCCCTCGTCTCAATTGACTGATGACTGAATTGTCCCAAGTTTCAATTAACTCTAAATAGTTGCTCTGAATAGGGAATAACTTGCGTCTTTCCAATGAACTGTATTGTAACATGCTGGAGAAGGCACCTGATCCCCCACTGCATTTTATCCAATTATTGCAGATCTATTAAAGTGACAGGACATCTGCAAGCTCTGGCCTCAATGTTTCTCAATGACTTCAGTGGTAGCTGGAAACAGAATTGGAAAATGAGCAACTCTGCCTTCTTCTACGTCCGACGATAATGTTGCCTGTGAACCGACAAGTAGTCAGCCTGGCAAAGAATTTCACATGGTTTCAAGCCAATGCATTTGTCCAAAGGTTTGAGCAGATGAAGGATGGGAGTGTCAATGCCTGATGAAATAGATGATCGTTTTTTTCTAGCTCACCGCATGAATCACTTTGTAAATCCTGCCTAGGTCAGATGGATTACTTCTGAAATGTTAGGCACTTTTCCATCAGTATTTATTTTGCTGAGACCCACCTGCTGCTTGCCATGATGCCAACCAGTTGGCAGCTTCAAGCCATTCAGCACCAATTCCTGACTCCGCTCCACTCAATCCTAGCCCCAACTCTATCAGACAGACATCTGGCACAAAGCTGAACGTCGGCTCATGGCCAGGTTTTGCAGAGCTAACAACGTATTCATTTTATAAGTGAGCATAACGCCACTGGATCCAATCACACAGTCAAACTCTCTTCATCACAGAGTCAAACCTCTTCTTATGCAGAGGTGAGGGAAGATCAGACCAGGTTTCCCCAAATTCAACGCTGGGAAAACAGGTTGGATTTTGTTACAAGTTGCCTTCAGAAGTAGGTTTACCTCTGGAAGCAAACCAGTAATACAAAAAGCAGCATCAGCCACACATATTATATCGATCATACCCTTAACAAAGCAAATGGTTTTGGTTAAATAAGTTGGATATGTAGCTGCTGAGTTATTTGATACAAATTCACTAGCAAGAACGTCCTAACCTTGTTATCACCTCGCCAGCTATTACACAGAAGTAATAAAAAAAAACTCTCATCCCATTTGTGCCTTCCATGGTTTTATTTGATGACTTAACCCAACACTCACAAGACATTCAAGATCTTTTCTTCACGCGTATACGGTGCCTAAGAGGCCAGTGTTATGCAATTTCCTAAGTGTTTAGTCCATCCCAGGGTTTTCACAATAACTTTTTGCTACAATTCATTGCTAAAAAAACTATACCTTATTTACTATATTCCCGAGCACCAGGTTTGAAAATTTGTAAACTGTAGTGCTAGACAGATACACGTACTACAGAGGACATTAACAGTGGGCATAGGTGCAGGCATCAATAAAAGAAAATTAACCCAAGTGCACATCAGGTCAATCAGCATCTGAAGATGTGATGAAGAGCCACACGCAACAGTTGAATCGATTTCTCCTGTCGTTGCCAATTGACCTGCTGCCGAATGCTGTGCTTCACCGTTTAATTTCAGAGGTTCAAGTCCACCCAGCTGAACTGCAAGCCTTTCCTTGCAGTGGGTGTGAAATGTTCCACACACACACACGTAATTTAAACACACCTGCTCACAGCAGAGTTGTAGACTGTGAACCACCACACCGTACCAATGCCAAATGAATATATCAAGATCAAATCAAGACAAATCAAGTGAAGTGGTTCTGAAGCCCTTGCTTACCCTAAATGCTGCAGCATTTTATCATCAGGACAACCAAAGGCCACTTGGCCATCTCTCACAGCGAGTGCCTAAACCTGCACCATTGTTTTGTGTGCTTAAAGCTCGAGTGTTGAAGCTGAGTGTGCAGCTTTGGAGTTTGCACCCAAGCTTTGCTCCACTGCACCTTTTTCATCTGCCATTTTCTATCGGTGATTCATTGTGAAGAACCCTGCCAACGGGCAGCTACCACTTAGCAAACAGCCCAAATTGCATAACACAGGTAAAGATCTAGCACAAAGGCAAGAAGGAGACAGCGCAGATTTGCCAGGAATGTGGCCGATTTCCAAAACAAACTGAACATGCGTGCCTAAGGGAACCAGTGCATGCATGATGCATGCAAAAGCTACAACCCAAACTTTTGTTTTTTTCGGGAAATAAAATGCAGCATTTTGGATTACCAGCAGAACGCAAGAGATTTACGCTCGCCAAAGACTAGCCTAAAGCAAAGTCTTCCCTTCTCAAACATCACAGGACAAAAAAATTCAAAAGGTAGAACAAAAATATGCAGATCAAAAGAAAAATGTCAAGTCGATGCATCCTCAAGAAAAAAGCATTCACTGAAGCAACTCAGTTAGCAAAAGATGCAATGAATGCAAGTTAGCAAATCATTCTCATGTTGTACAGACATGTTACAGTTTACGTAATTATGTCAAATTGTAGAGCTTCAGTAATGGCTTTGTAGCATTTGCAAATTTACTTTGGGAGAAAAATAATGAAACCATGAAGATCTACAATTGTACAGAACTTACTTGCCAATGCAGTCTTGCCAGCAACATGATAGGCAATAATGACTTTCTTCCCCTCTCGCTCTTCAGTTTTTGTCTCAAGCCCGGGAAAGAGGGACTTCACAGCCAGATGAATAACTGTTCGTTTTTCTTTGGTATCTTCCGCAACCTGTATTTTAATATAAAAAATATCATATTTCACTGAGAGTGATGTGGTTGTCCTGCAGCCATAACATAGGGAGAGAGGAGGGAAAGAAAGGGAAGAAGGAAAATACTAAATAAGAATGATGACTATGGTGCTTCTATCTTGTTGCACAGGACCAACCTCCAATTAAGTCTTTGGCTTTCAGTTACAATTACCACAACAACTTGCATTTATATAGCTCCCTTCACGCAGGGTAGCATTTCAGAGTGCTTCATTAGAGAGACGTCTCAATTATGTGATAAGGTGCTATATCAAATGCAACAATTATTATTATTAATTAGATCGCAGATTTAATGTTTCGAAATTATACCCAACCCAAATCTGCAGCGCCACTGAAATTTAAGGCAACTGGTCAGATGGTGAACAGGTTCATCAAAAGTGGTGCAACAACACTTCCCAAGCGGTAACTAAAATTCAAAAGTCCTCCAGCGTTTATACGGTAATGAGCAGCCATCTGCACGTGCTTTAAATATACAGAGCTCTGCCTTGCCCTAGCACAGTACGATTCTTAAAATAGGTGTCAGTGTTGAACAGGTGCCTCCACAGCAGTGTGTAACTGTAACAGTGACTTATTGTAATACCTCAATCGTATCAAACCGGAACTGCGTTATACCTGCTGCAATAATTTATAACACCTTAACTGTGTCAAACTGGTACCTATGGACTGCATCTACAGTATACCTGACACAACAACTCATCGGAATACCTCGATTGCAACACAGTCCTCCTTATTCTTGAATAGCTGAAGGTCTTCCAGGCGCTGTTTGTCTTCAGCAGACAATACTGAAAATATTTCCTCCGTAGGATCCTGAAAAACAATAATCACAAGTGTCACATGTTGTGCACAGGCACGTTACCAATACATATTGACCGACCACATGCGTGTGTGTGTGTGTGTGGGGGAGAGGGCGGAAGGAAGAAAAAGAAGAACAACCCACCTACATTGTCCAAGGTACTGTAGGATTTGAAATTATCCCTTGTTCAACAATGTAAGAAAATGTAAAATCTCCAATAGTCATTTGGTTGAATGAAGAGATAAAATAATTTTAAAACACTGTCAGACTGCACCCACAGAAACCTTGCTCAAAAGGATCCGTCAGAACAAATCTGCGGAAACTACTTCAGCGAGCGAGTGGTAAACGTATGGAACAGGCTCCCTTAGAGACGGTGAAAGCAGAAAGTGTTGATTCATTCAAGAACAAATTAGATAGATTTCTGTTAGGAAATAATATCTCGGGATACAATACATAGTTTGGTACATGACATGTGCAAGCAACTGCCAGGATGGTGGAAGGACCTTGGTCTTCTTTTGTTTAACAATTCCTATGAATTTTGTTATTGTTCTTATGTTATGTCTAACTGAAGCCAAGCCAATGAAGATTTTTCAACAGTGTTTCAAAAATAGCATACAATTGAGACTGTTTGATGCTGAATAGGATCAAATGAGCTGAGACCTTTCGAGATGCAATGTAATTTGCTCCCTATCAAAAGGTTAGAAAAAAGTCAATTCCAGTACGTACTGGAAATATTGATTCAAGACGATTCCAAGATGGATTGGTTTTGAAAGCTGCTTGGCAGGACTTTTTTTTAAAAAGACTGTGAAACAAGTTCCTTTGGAGGATGAGGTGCGGTGAAGTGCTCCAGGGATCAATGTGCTAAGGTTACCAACATATTGTGCCTCCCCCACCCCCCCCAAGAGGGATGGACAAAAAGCAATTCTGTACGTGCACCCTCTTGTGTTCAGGAAAACGACATGCAGCTATAGAGAAACAAGAGAATATAAAAGGTACTTGTAGCGCAATCTGTACATTGAAATGTCTGATGGGATCTTTAATGTCCGTCTGAAGACAGGCAGATGAGGACATCAGATCTTACTTAACATCAGATCCAAAGGACATCACCTGGAGTGTCAGCGTAGACCTTGAGCGCGAAAGGCATCTACTGCTTGTTTTGAATATTGTTCAAAAAATTCTCTCCCCACGTACTTCAGATGGGGAAGACTTAATTACCTCTGGACCAGAGTGTGATCCTAAGGTACATTACCAAGAAAAAAACATTGCCTTCAATAAATAAATCAGTAGCAAGCTGCGCCTCTCCACCCTATGGTGCGACAGAAAGCAGTAGATTCGAATAGGACTCTTTCCAGTTTATACTAATCTAGCCAGTTTGTAATACAGCTGGATTAGTATAAACTGGAATATGTAATATATGCTTGTGACATATTTCTATTGTCCCCATACCCACAGCTCTGACTCCAGTTGCACTAATCTATATTCAGGAAAACATGACAACCCATAACGGTGCCTAGCAATCTCTGTGCCAGCACTCTGTTATAAAGCAAATACAAACACAAGTCACCTCATCATCAGCTGGTACAGATAGATTATCCAGAAAGACCACCTTCCCATCTTTGTTGATCTCATGCACAACAAAATCTGAATACCTACAGGAGAGAAGATGAAAGTTTCAGAAAAATATCCATTATTATAAAAATAATTCTTAAATTTGGTATTGTAATTTTCACTTCAGGAGGATGTCTAACCAAAGTGCTTCATAAGATATAATGTAAAGTGAAATACCTGCACATCCTCTAAGTGAACGCAATTATGAGTTTTTAAAAATATATTATTGTTTTCTCCTTTCAGATTGTCAGCAGACGACATAATTTCCCTCTCCTTTTACCCTCATTTCCCTCCCATGAAAAGCGCAAAATCAGGGCGAAACCAGTGTAAATTGTGCTCAACATCCACTGGTGATATCACCAGGAAAGGAACATAGGAAAAAGAGTAGGCCATTCAGCCCCTTGAGCCTGGTCTGCCATTCTATTAGATCACGGCTGATCTAATAGAATGGACTCCAAAGTTAGGGCGGGGGGGGGGGGGGGGAGAAGGAAAAACTTGGTATAACAAATAACCATTTCATCTGGGGGATTTTTGGCTATATTTTGGATACCTTAAGAATATCCATTCTCTTTTTGAATAGTGTTGGGGGATTCTTAAAACCCTTGGTTTAACTTCTCATCCAAAGGATGATACATCCAGGAAATGCCCATTAATACACTGAAGCAACAGCTTAGTCTATGAGCTCAAACACTGACTTGAATCTTGAACTCAAAAATTTCTGACCCAGAAACAAGTACTACAAACTGAACCAACACCTTGGGTAGGAAGGAGTTCTGCAACACCTCACATTTCTTGGTGTTTGCAGAAAAAAATGCTCTCTAATAACTATACAAAATCACACTCATTTTCAGAGTTCTGCACATAATTTCAGAAATCAGGTGGCTTCCGTCCATTCAATAAGGAGCATAAACTATAAATCTGGCTTCTCGTTGTAAGCAGTATTGTGTTAAGTCATTTGCAGGATATCCCAGGAGGACTAATGGGTGGAGGTCACACAGATCAGGAAGGTCAAATCTAAGGTTTGGAACCACAAAAGTGTCTCAGAACGCTTAATATGCAAGTAGTTGACCTTAATCAGATACTGAAAAGAGATCACTGCAACTGGCCTCAGCAACTACGGCTTTTGATGTGGGAGGGAGAGGAGATGGAGAAGCAACTGTGAACCAACATCTACTGGAAACTGGGTTGAGATGACACAAACTCATTTCACATGGAAACTCGACAGCTAAGATGAGACTAAGTCTGTCTATCTGGGCTTTAAACCCGAATGAAAGGAAATGAAAGTACGGTCAGCAAATGACATGCAAGTTAACTGGCCTGACATACAAGTGAAATGCTAGAAAACAAACCAATTATATGACACAGTGATCCTCAATACATAAAAAGTAAATACTTGAATGTCACTGTTTACATTGAGCAGAGATTATTTTTGGCGTCTATTTTGTGGACCATTTTATTAGCCTTTATAAAGAGTTTCCCTGTCCAAACATACCCATCGACAAATCAGAAGCAAACCCCATTTGGGATGATATCTACCTTTCCTTCAGAATTCCAGAAAATCCTTTGTGTGCACTGACAAACTTGGTGATGCCAACATCCTCTTCTACTAAACCATGTTTCATCAAATCGGCAAAGCTGTCTCCGTCGGCTTCTCCATCTTCCTCCACAACCACAGCATCATCTATTTCGTCCTCGTTTTCCTTCCCATTTTCATCATCTTTTGCAGGGAGGGCAGCCTGCAAACCTTCGTCAATCAGTCCTGTATCTTTTCTGGTTGAATCTAAAGGTATGCAAAGCTCTGAGCTCTTAGTCTTCTTACATTGCTCTGGGTCAGTTAGCTCTTCGCTGTTATCAGAGTGAGGACGCTTTAAGGCAAGGTTGCTCGCTTCCAAGACTTCCATCTTTCTTAAGGCACCAGAAACGTACACACACAATTGTTCTTTTCAATGCGAGTACATGAGTTTCGAAGAGTTGGATCCCTTTTGCAGATCCAATTCTCACGAGCGTATGGCTCAATATCCTTTTAAACACAGAAGGATGACAACATAGAATCCTGAAAAATAAAAAATATTTTCAGTCATTAATTGAACAAGAATGATGTAGTAAATAAAATTCAACGGCAGATTTATTTTCAGGGTTAAATCTATACATTCAGATCACTTTTTCCCTAAGGAACCATCTTAACTGTCAGAGGAGCACACTGGATAATTGAGGACTTAGTTATTATTTTTTTAATCAGTTACAGTATTTGGAAGATACAAGTCTTCATATAGCACCTTATCACATCGTCGAGACGTCTCAAAGCGTTTCATTGGATAAACTGTAAAGTGGATCGACTTTACGGTAAAGTGGATTGAAGTGTAAGCTTTGTAAACACCTATCAAAAATAAAATTCCTATATATACACAATATATAATAATCCTTGCATTTGATATAGTGCTTTTCACGTCTTCGAGACAACAACAGCTTGGATTTATAGAGCGCCCTCTATGCCAGACGGCATCTCAGAGCGCTTCACGGTAACAGATCCTGGGGCCGAGCCAGGGGGAGGGGGAGGAGGGTGACCAAAGGCGCGGTCGAAAAGAAAGGTCTTCAGCCGAGAGACATCTCAAAGCGTTTCACTGAACTGACATATCATACTTCAAATTAACTATAGCAGTTCAAATTTGCCAACTACTTTGAGCCAGTAGAAATACAACATTTAGATAACCAAAGAATTGCAGAATCAACAACATACCAGTGTGATGTGATATAAGTTCAAGTGCACATTGCAATACAAAACTGCAGCAACAGAAAGCTTACAATCACTACTCTGCTGAGCTCCCAATCTCACCTGAGCTGCTCAAGGAAGCACCCAAGCAACAATTTCACCATAACACTGCTGTGCGCTTGCTGACAACCAATCGACAACAATCATCAATAATCCTTGCATTTGATACAGCGTCTTATCACATTATCAAAACGTCTCAAAGCGCTTCACCGGATATACTGTAAAGTGGAGCGACTGTTTATTTGGGGACGAATCCAGAGAAATGCTTGGAACTAGACTATCCCACGAAGTGCCCAAGAGAAGGCTCGCAAACAGATGAAACTCGGTTTAAATAACAAAACAAAGGTAGTGCTCTTTTTTTTTAAGGGTTAACATACTTTTGAAAACACTTGTTGGATTTAAAATCTCAGTCTGAATAAAAGTGTGTTTTTTTTTGTTACTGAGTCTGAGGGACTGCTTCTAATTCATCAATGGCTTGGACGGTCTGTCCTATTGCCCGCTTAACACAAAAATATCCAGTCGATTCACTTACAGTATATTCTGTGAAGCGCTGTGAGACGTCCCGAAGACGCGATAAGGCGCTGTATCCAATGCAAAGATGATTATTATTATTATAAAACGCTCTGCGTGTGTGCGCGCAAGTGTATGTTACTTATGCGTTGCAATGTTCAACGTGCGCACACACACACGCAAATCTTTCTATCATCTTTAAGTTACAGTTAACTTAAAATTACAAGCTGGCGGCTATAAGTGGCCAAAGAGCCAACAAGACGAGGAACAACAACAACAACCACAACAGCAACAACAACCCTTGCAGTCGACGTAGCGCCTGATCACGTCTTCGAGACCTCTCGGAGCGCGTCACGGTACAGACCGCAAAGCGGAGCGACTGTGGGGGCGGGGGGTGGGGGCATGGTGCCATAATAATAACAATCCTTGCATTTTGATATAGCGCTTTTCACGTCTTCTCGACGTCTCAAAGCGCTTCACAGAATATACCGCAAAGCGAATTGGACCGTATACTTGTGGGCGAACGCGGCGGCACAAACAGTCGCGGATTGAAAACGACCAATTTACCGTTGCTTTGGGGGTTGTTTTATCCCCCCCCCCCCCCGCCCCGAGGGATTATTGTTGGGGCTGCGCTCCGTGGAGTAAGGAAACGTTGCCCGAGGTTCGGCCCTGACCTGCCTGGAACCGAACCCGGGTCGACTCGCCAGCGCGGCGAGCGCTCTGACCGCGGGACTGCCACGCCTCGCGCACGGCAGGAGCCCCCGCGCCAACCGCCCACGGCCGCGGCCGAACTGCTACCGTCCTGTGGAGTCCTGTAGCTCAGGTGGAGTCCTGTAGCTCAGTGGTTAGAGCACTCGCTTTGCAAGCGGGAGACCTGAGTTCAATTCCAGGCAGAGGGCGAAACCTTGGGCAAGTTTCCTTACTCCACACAGAGCCTAATAATAATCCCTCAAAAAAACCCAAAACAATAATAAATTGGCATTTTCAATCTACGACTGTTTGTGGGACATTGCTGTGCGCAATTGGCTGCCGCGTTCGCCCACAAATATACAGTCAATTCACTTTACAGTGTGTTCTGTGAAGCGCTTTGGGACGTCCTCCCGACGTGAAAAGCGCTATATCAAATGCAAGGATTGTTATTATTATTATTATGACCGTCGCCGACCCAACTGACTGACTTGAGAGTCGATTTCATTACTTATGATCTCCGCCCCCTCCCCCTCCCCCCCCCGTAAAATATTACCAACGGTAACTGACAACCGTGTGAGTGAGTGAGTGAGTGTGTTGTGTGTGTGTGTGTGTGTGAGTGAGTGTTGTGTGTGTGTGTGTGTGAGTGAGTGAGTGTGTTGTGTGTTGTGTGTGTGTGAGTGTTGTGTGTGTGTGTGAGTGTGTTGTGTGTGTGTGTGTTGTGTGTGTGTGTGTGAGTGAGTGTGTTGTGTGTGTGAGTGTGTGAGTGAGAGTGTTGTGTGTGTGTGTGTGAGTGAGTGTGTTGTGTGTGAGAGTGTTGTGTGTGTGTGTGAGTGAGTGAGTGTGTTGTGTGTGTGTGTGAGTGAGAGTGTTGTGTGTGTGTGTGTGTGTGAGTGAGTGAGTGTGTTGTGTGTGTGTGTGTGAGTGAGAGTGTTGTGTGTGTGTGTGTGTGAGTGAGTGTGTTGTGTGTGTGTGTGTGAGTGAGTGTGTGGTTGTGCTGATGGTGTGTGTGTGTGAGTGAGTGAGTGTGTTGTGTGTGTGTGTGTGAGTGAGAGTGTTGTGTGTGTGTGTGTGAGTGAGTGAGTGTGTTGTGTGTGTGTGTGTGAGAGTGTTGTGTGTGTGTGTGTGTGAGTGAGTGAGAGTGTTGTGTGTGTGTGTGTGTGAGTGAGTGAGTGTGTTGTGTGTGTGTGTGTGAGTGAGAGTGTTGTGTGTGTGTGTGAGTGAGTGAGTGTGTTGTGTGTTGTGTGTGTGTGAGTGTTGTGTGTGTGTGAGTGAGTGTTGCGTGTGAGGGTCTCAATGCAAAACGTGTTGAAACGATCAGCCGCACACAGACCCCCCCCCCCCCTCTCTCTCTCTCCCCTCCTCCCGCCCCCCCCTCCCCGCCGTTGCTAAGCAGCCGCCAGGCCTCGGCCTACCCGTCGGAGCGGCCCCGACAGGGCCTGGGCTCGGAGGCCTCCACCTGAGGCGCTCTCACCCCCACACACACACCCACCCACTCGCCTCTCGCCATGGCCTCCCTCCCTCTCTCTCTCTCTCTCCCCACCCACACCGGCCCTCGCGGCCGCCGAGAGGAGGCGGGACTCACCCCCGCACCGCACAGCACCGCACCGCACGGCCCCTGCACCCGGGGCGGCCCCCAGTGACCACGTGCCCCGCGCGCCGCCTCCGCCGCCGCCGCCTCCTCGTGCCACTGGCGCGGGCTCACCACGTGACCGCCACTGCCACCACTGCCTCAGTCAGTGCTGATGGCAGTGAATCGCTCCCACACACACACACTCACTCACTCACTCACACACACTTTTGCATTGGCGTAGGGGCTGAGGAGGAGTCACCGTCCATCGTGGAGTCCTGCAGCTCAGTGGTTAGAGCACTCGCTTTGCGAGCGAGAGACCCGAGTTCAATTCCAGGCAGAGGGCGAAACCTCCGGCAAGTTTCCTTACTCCACACAGAGCCTAATAATAATCCCTCCAAAAAAACAAAAACAATAATAAATTGGTCATTTTCAATCCACGAGTGTTTGTGGGACATTGCTATATTTGTGGGACGGCGCTATATCAAATGCAAGGATTATTATTATTATTATTATTATTATAGTCATGGTAGTAATAATAACCATCATCGTCATCATCGTCCTTGCACTTGGTAGGAATGATCATCATCATAATAATCGTCCTCGCACTGGATGATAGTAATCATAAATAATCCTTGCACTTATAATAATAATAATAATAATAATAATAATCCTCGCGTTCGATAGAGCGCTTTTCACGTCGGGAGGACGTCCCAAAGCGCTTCACAGAACACACTGTAAAGTGAATTGACTGTATATTTGTGGGCGAACGCGGCGGCCGATCGCGCACAGCGATGTCCCACAAACAGTCGTGGATTGAAAATGACCAATTTATTATTGTTTTGGGTTTTTGGAGGGATTATTATTAGGCTCTGTGTGGAGTAAGGAAACTTGCCCAAGGTTTGCCTGACCTGCCTGGAAGTGAACTCAGGTCTCTCGCTTGCACTTGGTAGGAATGATGCTAATAATACTAATCCTTGCATTGGATGATGATCCTAATAATAATCCTTGCACTTGGTAGGAATGATAATAATCCTCGCATTTGATAATAATACTAATCCTTACGATTGATTATGATAATAATAATCCTTGCACTTGGTAGGAATGATGATAATAATACTAATCCTTGCAGTTGATGATGATCCTAATAATAATCCTTGCACTTGGTAGGAATAATAATATAATCCTTGCACTTGGTAGGAATAATAATAATAATCCTTGCACTTGGTAGTAATAATAATAATTCTTGCATTTTAATAATAAAGCTAATCCTTGCATTTGATAATAATATTAAACCTTGCATTTGATGATGATAATAATCCTTGCATCAACAATAACAACTTGCATTTCATAATCATATCCCTTACATTTGATATAGCACCTTTCACATAAAAGAGGACATCTCAAAGTGCTTCATGTGATTTATTTATTGCAAATGCAAAGATTATTATTATCAAATGCAAGTTGTTATTGATGTTGATCTTCACCCACAAAATAAAGTCACTGCATTTTACAGTGAATCCTATGAAACATGTTGAGATGCCTTTCTGACATGTCATTATTTTATTATTACTAGACGCTTTCTATGAAGAAAACACAAAATCTTATAGTCTTATGTTCGGTGGGAGAGGTGGATTGCCGGAATTGTCATCATGATAAATTCAAACGTGTGTCGATATTGGTGTTAAAATTAACAATACAACAAAATAAATGACACAAAAAACTTTGATTTGACGAAGTTGTCTCCCTCAAATGCTTCACAGGATTTACTGGAAAGTGTAATGATTGTATTTTTGTAGATGAACGCAGCAGCCGATATGTGGACAGCAATGCACCAGAAACAACCGTCTGGCCAAAATTCTAGAGGTGCTTAATTTAGTACGGGTTCAACAGTTTCAGGCCAGCCTTAGAGATAGATTACAACAACAACTTGCATATTTATAGCGCCCTCCACCCCGGGCGGTGTCCCAGAGCGCTCCACAATGGCGGAGCCCGATGCCGAGCCAGGGGGAGGGGGAAGGTGACCATAGGGCCAGGTCGAAGAGGAAGGTCTTCAGGCGCAACCTGAAAATGGGGAAAGAGGGGCCGAGGCGAAGGGATTGACGGGGTTGAAGATGAATTGACCATTAAATATTACAGGTGAATTGAATGGCTGAACACCAATGATCAATATTCTGTTCCAAGAGTAACAATGATAGTAAGTTATAAGATTTTTTTAATGTTCATTTCCAATATCAATTTTAACAGTAATGCATGAATTGTTTTTCTGCTGTGGCGCCGTACAATGTTTTTGTATTGGGATGACACCAAAAGGCATTGCTTGCAGATAACCATTGCTTTTAGTTTCTCCACCCAATTCACAGTTTCCAACTGTGCTAATTATTTGAGCGTAACAGCCTGCAAAACAGTATTGTTACTTGGATAACACCACGAGCTCTTCTATTTTATTCATTATTTTATAATGTTATGTTTTTCTCTAATAGTTACCAGAGTAACAAAGTATTTTGTAGCAAAAGGTAGTATAGAGGTCACTGATGGGTGCAATAGATTGTAGCTAAGCATCAGTTTGGCTCAGTTGGTAGCTGTGCTGCATTTGGGTCAGATGTTTGTGTGGTAATTTTTGGCCAGCCTGGTTCTTGACATTTATAATAATAATAATCCTTCCATTTGATATAGCGCCTTATCGTGTCGCTGAGACGTCTCCAAGCGCTTCACAGAATATATTGTAAAGTGGGTTGACTGTATATTCTGCGGGTGAAACGCAGCAGCCAATTGCGCACAGCGGTGTCCCGCAAACAGTCGTAGATTGAGTGCCTTAAAAAGGATCCAAACCAGACCGAAAATTCCACATGTGTATGCTGCCTACACATGAAAATGTCCAGGTGTTTTGAATAGAATGTACTCCCATTCCCTGCAGGAACAACAACAACAAAATTATATTTATAGAGCGCCTCGGGAGGACGTCCCAAGGCGCTGGACAGTCAGGGGTCAGGACCCGAGCGTGGGGGTAGAGGTGAGGGAAGGCAGAGAAGTGAGAGGGCGACCAAAGGTGCGACCGAAGAGGAGGGTCTTGAGACCGGCCTTGAAGGAGGCAAGGGAGGAAGCGAGGCGAAGGGACTGTGGGGTGGAGTTCCAGAATATGGGGCAGAGAGGCTGAAAGCCCGGCCACCGATGGTAGGGCTGGTTGGGCAGGAGACATGGCGCAGGTCGAGGCCCGCTGAACGGAGGGAGCGGGCAGGCTGGTAGGGAGTCAGCAGGCCAGAGAGGTAGGAGGGGGCAAGGCCATGGATGGCCTTGAAAGTGAGGGCGAGGATCTTGAACTCATCCTCTGGGGGACGGGGAGCCAGTGGAGTCGGACGAGGGTGGGAGTGATGGGGTCGTGGAGCCTGGTGCATGAGAGTACACGAGCTGCAGAGTTTTGGATGATCTGCAACTTGTGAAGGGAAGAGTTGGGAAGGCCGATGAGGAGGGAGTTTCCCCTAATCGAGCCTTGATGTGATAAATGTGTGGGTGAGGGTTTGGGCAGCCTGAGGGGAGAGACAGTAGTGGAGTCTGGCAATGTTGCGGAAGTGGTGGTAGGCAGTGCCGGTCATGGTGCGGACGTGTGGGGAGAAAGGACAGTTCAGGGTCAAACAAGACACCCAGGTTCCTGACTGGCTTAGTGAGGTTGAGTGTGCAGCCGTGGAGGCTGATGCTGCCAGTGCCCAAGGTGCAGAGGCGATGGCGCGAGTCAATCAGGAGGGCCTCAGTCTTGAGTTGGAGAAAATTGTCCCTCGTCCAGGACTTGATGTCGGACAGGCAAGTCGGTCAGGACGCCAGTAGTCCTGGAGTTGAGGGTGGGGGTAGAGAGATCGAGTTGGGTGTCATCTGCATACATGTGGAAATTTACCCCATGTCTGCGGATGACGTCACCAAGGGGGAGCATGTAGAGGGTGAAGAGGAGGGGACCGAGGACAGAGGAAAGCAACCTGATTACCTATTTCTGGAGAGTATTCGGCACACGTCAGCAAGAGCCATGATCAGAGTATGTGTTGGAATTGAACCGGGTAAAAGCACTTAGCATGTCAATGAGAGCACAATCTGGCAAGCTTTCTGCAGTTTATTCAGCCAGAGCCACTCTCCTTGTTGGGGCCAATGAGCCATTAAGTAGTCTGTAAAGAAGGGAGTTTCTCCCGGTGTGCTGGCCACCAATCCCCTAAATAAAACAGATCATTTACTACATGACTACATTGCTGTGCGCAGTTTGAGTACCGTCTTGGCCTGCAAAATGTACAGTCACTACACTTTGCAGTGTATGATAATAATACTAATCTTTGCATTTGATATATCCTTTTCACGTCTTCGAGACGTCTCAAAGTGCTTCACTGAATATGTGTGAAGTAAGTTGACTGTCTATTTTGTGGGCAAATCATGGCTATCTGCTTCACTTTTGTACCTTTTGTTTTAACAACAAAACCAAGCATTTTATCTTACTTAAGCAATCTAAGCATTGGTTATACGAATGAGTTAAGGAAATGGTTCAGGAAATAGTTGGCTGTCTCATTATCTCTGTTAGTTGGTTAAAACAAATCACTCAGAGGCCAGTTAGCAACGCTCTCTCTGTGCACGATCTTAAATACATATGAAGACAGATTGCAATGATGCAAGCAGGCACTGTAACCACAGCGACCCGCTTGCATCAATCCACAAATACTGTTGCTATCTCTGTGCGTATCAAAGTAAGTAGCACAAAGATAGCAAAAGTGAAATGGGATTGGGCAACCTTAAACTCACTTCTAAAAGGCTTTGCAAAACAGCCAATAATCGAACACAACTTGACAAACTCACAGATTGTGCTTTCCGTGGTCTTTTGGAGATAAGCGTAGGCAAATTACCAAAATCCCCACAGGAATTATTTAAATAAACAAATCTGGAAAATGTTGAGAACATGTGCATCAGATGGTTTTGTAGCAACCCATTCACAGACTGTTGTTAAAGAGGAGCAGCGAATTAAAGGACAACAATAATATAGCCGCAATATCAAATGCAAGGTTTATTATATTGTTATTATAACTCATCACATTGGATAATTCAGCACAGGGTCCTTTTAATAATAATTAATAACCCT